TAATGAACACTCCAAGTACCGCCATTTCGCATCTTTTCATCATATATTCATCATATAGGAGCACCACCATCTAGCGGACATTCCAAGGACTAAACGAGAGGTGGCACGGCCGGACTAGAGGAGCGGCACGCGCGCACTCTTTTACGGCTTGCGCTTAGTATCTAGTTCCCACCTTTCACAGCCGCTGGTTCATGGCACTGCGGCCAAACCCTCGCTAAACCTTGTTAAAACCAAGTAGGTTACGCCCAGCGAGTTTAAAATGGCAACCTTTTCTTGTCAGATAACGCTCAAAGTGCATCCTTCTGTCACAAGTTTTGTATTAGTAAGCACCCAATTCAAGGCAAACCTTATTGAAGCTTAAGTCACTGATACTCGTCTCTGCCAGCTATTTTATAATAAACAACTATCTTATGATTTATGATTAACGTGCGCGGGTTTCCTCCTCAATTGAAAAGGGTACGCGCATGCCGTTCCTCTAGTCCGGCCGTAGGGGTGGTAACCTACTACTACAACGACGACTACTACTACATACATCGCGGAAGCACGAGCCACAACTTAGGGAGCTTCGCCCGCAAAAAAAACATGACATAGCCTAAATATAGATTTTTACAGCCTTTCTAGTTGAAAGAGCGTGGTCAATCAGGACGGTTAATGTCACATTTTCACAGCCTTACAAAAATCCCTAAATTTAACGAAAACCACGCCAAATCCTCAAAAAAGGTTTAAGATCTCTATATCTAAGGATAAATTCCTAAGGTTGGCATCACTTGCTCGAGAAATAAAAACGCGGCCGCCGCGTCGTGACGATGTTGCTACGCGCACTCATTGCGCCATCTTGCTGGTAGTATTGAAAACACGATAACCTCACCCCCCCCCCCCCCCCCCCACCAGAATGCCCATCGGCAACGGTAAGTGCGATGCAGCCGAGAATGTCCATATTGTAAGACAACGTTTTGGCTGCAAGACACTTCTTTTACTTGCGGAGCCTCTGCCCGACAACACAGGTCAGATGATCAGTATGTACATATGATAATATGATAACATGACGCGTATGAATAACGCTCACAATATAATTGCTACCGCAATAAAAATCACAGCATACCCACGGAGTGAAGGTGATGAGTGAGGCGAAGCGTCCGTCAGTCCGCCACTCAGTGAGTATATGGTATAACCGTAAAGATCTTTGCATCGGGCGAGGAGCTAGGTCTGGTCTGGCAACCAACGCATTCCTCCTCTCTGGCATGTGGGCGACGGCTTGAAGTGTGTCTGTTGAGGCTGGTATGTGTGGCGTTATCGAGTGATTTGCCGTGAATTACCCAACCTGTGGATATTTATTTCTTTATTGCTAGGACGGCCAAGAATGGGTCATCAGGGAACCACTGCGCTGTTTTTGGGTGCAGTAACCACTGGAGAAGAAATAAAGTGCGCTCGGAGGAAATATGCCATGTGCATCACCAGACATGAAGTTTTTGTGGCTGTGGACTCTTGAAGTTCCACCGTTTTTCTGTTGACGAGGAGCAGCGGCTTCTGTGGCTTGCAAACCTAAACAGGCAAAAATGTGTGCCTTCCGCAGGTACTCGGGTATGTTCAGAGCACTTCTCAGGTGAACAAACCGCAATGACTTCGACACCTGCTCAACCTCGGCTATGAACGGGAGGTACGCAGCCTATACAGCTATTTCAACGATGACAATATTTCCCCGATAAACAGCCCCACGTAACATTTCTTTCTATCGTCGGTCAAAGTACCGCAGTACCGAGAGTCACTGAAATATCGCGATTAAAAAGAGATAAAACGGGGACTAGCAGGCACGTCAGCGTTCTTTGGTGTAAGAGCTGTATTGATATTTGAGAAACAGTTTAGACAACAGTTAGTGTACAGTTAACAAAAAAAAACTGTCAGTGCCTCGAAATAAAGACGAACCACTACAATCCAACACACGGCTTCATGCAAGAGCGGCAGCCGATGCGACGGCGTGGCGTAAAGAAATCTTGTTAGAAAAGTGGATGACTACAGCTCAAGAAATATTGTCGCTACGCTCTCGAGGTGTTGTTGCTCATCCTGGAAAAGAAAAACCAGAAAATACTGCGCATTTTTCGAGCAGAAAGTCGGTGCTCTGTATATACTGCATCGGCAAAGGTAGACTCGTTTGCGCTACTGTATAATAAGTAAATTGGCCTTCAACGACTTGTGCCTCGTCATAACGTCTCATAGACACCTTTTCTAACGAAGCTGCATCACTTCAGTCAAAATTATCCACGTAAAGACAGAGCGGGAACGATAAACCCGCAGCTGAACGCTTACCTTCTATGCAAACAGCGAGCTTTCCGCATGCTAGATGGCTTGCCAGACCAGAAAATGGCCGTCGGCTGGCAAGATGGCGGCGCCCACGATAAAAACGTCTGAACTCTTTTTATATGACGGTCCGTTCATCACTCTCAACACATGTACCATTTGCTTTAGGACATTTGCGTATATTCTTGCACGCTTGGACAATGATGTGCTCCGTGTAACCCGCACCGAGGGGCACACGGTTTAAAAAACGTGGCCAAACAATATGGCGTTGGCGTTGTTTTATTGCGATAGCAGTTATACGGACATTCTCGGCTTGCTTTTGCCTCAGGCGTCGGCGTCACTCAGCGTGTATATATATATATATATATATATATATATATATATATATATATATATATATATATATATATATATATATATATATATATATATATATATATATATATATATATATATATAGTGTGTGTGCGTGTGTGTGTGTGTGTGTGTGTGTGTGTGTGTGTGTGTGTGTGTGTGTGTGTGTGTGTGTGTGTGTGTGCGTGTGCACTCGCATTAACTTTTAGAAATTTTGTACCAACTAGCCCAACAACAAGTTCTTTTACGAGCGCTTTTCATACATGTCAAAATAACAACTGAGACGCTTATTCCTGTGCATATGTACCTGTGAGTACGTTTCGTTGGTCATTTGCGCGTGAGAAACGCGTGGCACGTTTTGATCTGCTTTCAATTCTGCACCTGACCTTCCAATTTGTTGTTATCGCGTTCTTTGCTTCGACTATACGGCAAAGCTGTGACTTTTTTTCGTCTTCTCATAAACTTGTGTCCATGTGTGCAAAAGTGCAGAGAAACATTGCTAAACAGTGCAAGATCAATAAATGTCCTAGCAACTGTGGTATAAACCACACCTTCTGATATACAGAATGTATAGAGGCCACTGTATATCAGATTCTCTTATCATGTGGTAGAACTTACATGGGCCAAAGCGGAAGATGCATTAACGTTCGCCTGCGAGAACACGAATGCTCATTATCGGAGCCATAACTGTACTCCCTCGCTGCTCATTGTCACGAATGCGGCTGCCTACCCTTATTCAATGACACAAATATGCTGCCGCATCATAAAAATCAGCTAGAAAACGAAGTGATTGAAGCCTTCCACATCCGAAGAAAAGCGATAAGTGTGTCAGCATGTCCTCTATCGCACTGAGCGACGCAAAATTTTGCTCTCTTCCTAGCTCCTTCAGAAGGTGATACCAATGTTATACATTTTCCCTGCTTGCGGCGTGTTTTGTTGTTTTTCTGTTTGGTGTATTTGCATTTTTTAATTGGCACTTCACCTATATATCATCTGTTTTTTCCCAAATAAATGTTAGTTGCGAGTCAGCGCTTGTCGGTGTTTTTTTTTTGCGCCCTCGTCTCACGTGCGCTGCTCAACCAAGATGAACAACCACTGCGATCAACGCATGGCAAAGCGCATTTAACCGCTCATTACACACCTTCATGACCGTGATCATGAGAGGAACAAAGTGCGGCATTGAAATAAACACTCGTAAACTGAAGGCAAACGTGCGTCTAACCTCATTAAGAAGCACGAACATGTAACCAACAGTATTGAAAGGCGTCGGGTAGAACCCACTGTTATTGACCGGGGCCGCACACTTCAGCTTCAACTGGTTAACGATTTGTAAGGAGTGCTTGGGCGGTGACTCTTTGTTTGCTTCCTTCCCTTGAGCATTGAAGCTCATCGACGTCTGCAAATTGTAGCAAGTGGCAAACAAAGCAAAGCGTGGTTACAAAGCGTGCAAATAGAGCCAACAATTTCTTTTCGCTTTATACGCAGGCGAAATACCAAGTACGCTCCCCCAGTATTTTGTTTAAGTTGAAAATTTTTATATTCTTAACATCATAATGTACATGAACAAATAAAGAAGGCTGTTTCACTCTCCGCCAAAATACAGGTTTTCTCATATACCCAAGAGCACATATTGACATTTCATGGAACTGTGGAGGCTTAACGCGGCGAGGGGTTGTTGAACAAGTGTTGCTTGAACAATCCTTCCTGGACTTGTCATCATCAGGATTGCTGTGGAGACAAATCCACCTGTCGAAACTGTGCACTAAGAACACACTGTCGCACTGCTTTCATCAGTGATGAGCGCCGTCGAAAGCACACGCGTGAGAGTCAATCTTTCGAAATCAACTGTTTTGGCGGGCAATGGGCTTTCACTTTGACCATATTCTCCAGATAGCAGCACAAGTACCGGTACAAACCGGAAAAACAGCTTTTTTCAGACGGCTCTGCGCTGTGCCAGCGGCGGTTGCGCGTCTCTACCCTGTTCCATTGTATGCGGCATATATTGTTTATTGCTGCATACCACGAGGATGAACAAATCTGCAAATAAAAACGCTGCAATGAAAGAGCCCACAGCTGTTTACAGTGCTTTCTTCGTCGTCTATTATCGACTTCGCTCATTTTATTCGGTACCATCCCGATCGCATAGCAACCGCGGCGCTGTAGAGACGTGCTTCCTCTCGAGACCCAACAGCTTTGCATCGGAACATTCCCATGGCGTACTGTTGCAACGCCGGACAAAAACCACGCGTTTCCGCTCCAGTGAGTTGATTACAAACGCAGCTGCATGCGGCACCCACTGTTTAGACTCCGTCGCGCGCCACGCCGCTGGCAACAATCGCGCGATTCGCCAAGACAGCAATGAAGCGTAAGCGTTCTCGGTAGCCTCATTTCCATACTCTGTTAGTCTGAAGGCGCAACTTATATATAAAAGAAAAAGGAGAAGGCAGACGTGTCTGGTGACATACGCAAACTCGCAATACCCACCCAGCCTTCCTCTCTCTCTCCCTTCTTCACCCTCTCTACGAGACTCAAGGCCAGGCGGTCGCACTCCCGAGAATTGCCGTTCATCTCCCCTGCTCTGAAAATGCCGGACGCCCAGGTTTTAGGCTCCAGTGGACAGCGCGTATCCTACGCTCCCATTGCGGTTCCTACCGACGACATCGAACTTGCGGGTGCGAGTAAGGATGAGACGACGGAAACGGATAAACTTTCGCCTTGTGTCGATGCAGTCGACTTCAGCAACACGTGCCGGCCGCCCGCTGTCAGGAGTACGGGCTTTCTGCACAGGCACAGGAAGAAAATATCCCTCCTTCCGATGATGCACACTCAGTTCTGGGTGGCTGCAGCGTACGCTCTTCTGGCGCCACTTTTCCCAGCTCTGGTAAGCGTTTTCAATCTCTTCATGGCGCGTCTGATTTCCTCTTCATTGAACAGAAAGGGAAGCAAAAAAGAATACATATACATGTGATAACCAGGATGCACATATCCCGTGACCTATCCAGTAGGTACAATAATGTCGGTAGGAGGAACAAACGCGTGACAGGAAAATATCATTAACGCGCAGTATACAACTGAACAAGAAACAAAAAAAAAGAAAGAAAGCGTTACTACATCATTCCAGCGAACCTCATAAGCCTATTTTCTGTCGGAATCACAAGCATTCAGGCATCTCTCATGTCAATGTTGTATCCTCATGTTGTTTTTCTCAACTGACGTGGTTGGGAAACTCCGAACTTCCACTTCCGGCTGGTCACAATCTAAGCATCGTTGTCATGACATTTGAACGTAGTTTTTCGAGGCATGAAGTCACAGAACGTGATTTCTAAAATTGTACTTTGTGAAAAACACAGCTGTCATCAATTTAAATTAACTAAAATTTCCAGGTTGCGCAAACTTAGTCACCCAAACCCGCGTCATTTTAAAGAAGACTTTTCACTTGTCATATCCAACAAATTTTGGAACAGCTGACCTCTGCTCAAGCCTGTTTGTTGCGATATCTGTAGACGTCCTGTTGCACGACGCTGAAAAAGCCTTCGACAAATCATCTGATAAATGATTCCCACTCAAACTCCAACGTGCGAAGTTTAACATCTTAGTTCCTAACGCGATTTTTCAGTTCCTAACAGACATGAAATATATTCTATATTTACATAGAGCTTCTGATTATTTTTCATTCTATTATTTTTTTCTTACATTTTTTGTATTTGCGTGTGTCTTGATGTCATTACCATGGTGTTGGGATAGTCGGATTTTATGCAGGCTACTTTCTCGCGTGCTTTTCTTTTTTATATATCAATAAAAAATTACTATCGTAACATTTATTTACTTCTACGTCCCGTCACTACAGTTGCGCGCGAGGGCATGGTCCTGGCGGCCCACTTCAATATTAAAACACATTATTGAGCGACTATGTGAATTATGTTTTTTTTTCTTCCTACGTGACTATTTACATCTGATGTGACTTAATACGGAAATAATAGCCTCACTTATGCGTTCTTCTTTCTGTGAAAGAATGACGTAAAGTATGACCCATGTTGCAAAACTAAGGGGACCTCCCCGTAAGAACTGAGGAAGTGTTCGCAATAATTCGACTTCTGCAAGCGTTTTTTTTTTAGTCTTTATTGTGCTTTTAGTTATCTTGTAAGGCGAAGAAATGTGAGTAGCTGGCACCACTGAAGGTGTCTTCGACAAAACAAAAACAGTAAAGAAAACATAAGTTGTTTCTTGCAAAACATCGTCTGGATGTTCTTCGCAAAAATGTTGCGACGTGATTTCACTTGTTCACCTTCGCGACCTGTCATAGCATATCCACGTGAGCCATATCTGCAGTTTTCTTCACTGAGGTGAAACCCTCGTGCGTCTCATGCAAACATGACCTTGAACAAAAGCCGGTATGACCGTCGTGTACGAAATTAAGGAATAATGACGCCCATGTGACGTCAACAGCTGCGCGTTCACGTCGTCCTTGCGGTGCTGGCGTGATATAAAGGGAACTGCAACAGACACACACGTGATGGGTTTCAGCTTTGAATTGTTCCAGGTGAATTCATAAAGGTCCTGTCAATACAACCAGTGTTTTTTTTTTTTTATAAAGCTGGATCTCACCCTCTTGACATAATACCAGAACATATCTTTCAAGTTACTTGAGCCATCTTCCACACATCAGCCCAGTCTCATGCATACCATGAATCATAGTGCAGTCTTTCGCGAATTTTAAAGGTTTGCCTACCGACGCTGTCTACCAATCCAATACGGTTCAATTTAAAGAATAAGTACGCTCACTTGTAAATCCGATTAGAATCTTTCAATGCATAAGATTTAGCTAGTTATGAATCATTCAATAACAAGAAGTCAACCGATTACGCAGACATGCCTACACATGCTACGAGATGTAGTATTCCATTTTGTGTATTGGGTGTTTACATGTGCAACATGAAGCTGTAGTGCATTAGTCGTCTGCATTTTTTGGTATTTCATTCCAGAAAACTGACAGCCTGTCATCATTCCAAGAGCCACCTCAGAAAAGTCCTCTTGTCACTATGAAAATCTTTTCGAGGAAACAAAATATAGGATGAGAATGTCGAGCTTCAATTTATCCTCAACTCCAAATGAGTGTATGAAACATAGTGGCCAATATTGTACAATACTTCTGTTTCACTTTATGTATAATTATTTGCCATCTGTCGTTTTTTGTGTATCGCAATCCGTGCAAATATTTCACTTTACACGTGTATACATGCGAACTCGTTTTGCTTTCTTGGACTCTTGGTAAACTATCTACGACGCACATTCTGTGCGATTGTACATTGTCTGCACATTTGGCGTTGCATGTGTACGACACAAATATGTGTTTTTATTGCTTCTTTATTTAATTGTTTTACTTCCAAAATGATAACGAGTAGCGCGTGCCGTTATTACGCCATCACCTGTCATATACGTTATTTAAACAACAAATAAACATTGCTCCATAATATACAAGTAAAAGTGGGGAAAAAAAGGATCTGAACAAACGTACAAGTGCATATTTTCTGAACTACACCAATAACGAATCCCCCATAAACAAATTTGATCACGTTAAGGCTTGACGCAACTATCAATCGCCTGTGCCACCAGACGTTATTTTACCAAAGGCACGCGATTTCGCATTCGCGCATTCAAACTGTTCAGACAAAATTTTTATGATCCCAATATAACAACATTTCAAATAGAGGAATGCGCTGCCATAAATCTATAAGAGAGCGCAAATCACAGTTCTTTTTTCTCTCTATTTTTTTAGGCTGTTTCTAGGGGTCTGGAAGCCTGGGAGTACGGATTTGTGTTTTCATTGGGGAAGATAACCACATTAATAGGGTCGTCATGGGCCAAAAAACTGGTAAGTCAGAGAGCTTATTATTCACAATAAAAAGGTTCGAGAGATTGTCAATCGCACTAAACAACTTCATATACTTATTCTGACCATTGCGCGTTTTAACCGTGTTATATAGAATAGCTTTTGTGTGTGTTTTTTTTTTTGAACGAGAATTTTTTATTAAAAAGCTATAGCAGTCAGGCTCCCGTCGTTTTCACAAACGAGCTTTATATCGATGCAGAAATACTTTTCCGCAGCAAATATGACCTGCATGAGACTAATTAACAAGCCCTCAATAAGTAACTTATTATTGTTGACTGGCCCGCTGTTGCCTATAGTACAAAGCAGTAGTTCATCTATTTATGACGAATACCAATTTTTCAAACACAAGAATTCCACTTCCATATACTTTTTATCATCGAAGCTCAAAGGTGAATTCAAAGCTGATCGCGCCTAGTTCGCATGAAGTGCGCCAACATGGCTACGTCAGGCCGAAACTGCCCGTGGAAGGTATGTCAGTAAATCGGGATCAAGGCGCGTTGAATCAGCACTCTGAAATACACAAGTATACAGCTTGTTGTTTTCGGGTGATGTGTAGTGCTTGAGTGTTTCTTTAAAAGGGAACAAAAGACTTGCGCCTGTCGGCAAGAAGAAGCGCCGCAGTGTCTGCCACTGAGTTGTATACTTCCCAGATAAAGTAAATATTGATATTGCCGTTTTCTTGAGCACAGTTCAAAAGAAACGGATAAGCCCCAAACGCTATGCAAGATTATGCGCTGGCAGAAGGGAGATGGCTTGTAGCTGTTCACTAACATATGTGGCCGCGGCGCGCCTTGATTCAAATTGTGTCACTCCCTGTTGACGGGCAGTTCGGGTCTGATGTGGCCGAGTTGGCGAACATCGCGTGCGCCCCGTGTGATCAGTTTCGATGTCATCGTCCAAATTAGATGATAAATATATGAAACTACGTAGAAATTGCGTGATTTCTAAAAAAATAGGTATGCCGAAAATTATCATGCACTGCAGATTTCTAATATCGAAACTATACCTATGACAATAAATAAAAATATAACTAACCATTTAATTAGAGACGCCAAAGTCACATTGGCTGCGGAAAAGTATTTCCGCCTCAACATGCACTGCAGAAACGACAGAAACCTGACTGTTATATAATGTTTACAAATAGTCTGTATTGTCTGAAGAAAAAAATGCACTCTGTATTTGGCTGTGACAAATCATTTCATGGTGAAAGGTGAGTTATAGGGACGCAGACAGAAATATTTTTCGAGGGAGCGGGCGGGCACCTCATTGATCTGAATGGGAAGCCAGGCAGCTAATGGTCATTTTGCGCAATTTATGCCTTGGTGAACTAAAATTCTATTTAAGGGGGGAAGGCACAAGCCCGGTGACCCACGTCCTGGCTACGCCACTAATAAGTTATGAAAGGAAATAGTGGCATTGATAATTTTGTAGCAAAAAGGTACGAGGAAAATTTCTCGAAAAGAAAACCAACTAATATCAGCGGTGATTGCTTTACCTATTGAGCTAACGAGGAGGCGAGAAACCGGCAGAAAAATGGTGAATTCATCGTATACACATGAACACGGTGCTGATCATCTATGCGGACACGTTGGACATTGATTGAGGCAGCCGCGTGCTGCCAATTTCCGATTGCCAGCCCGTATAGGTAAGCTACTTGTAGAAAGACCAGGATTTCGGCACGTGCGCACGTAGCGCCATCTCTCAACGGCGACAGTGATATTCAGCCATAACTGAATAGGAAAGAAGCGGGTACAAATTATACCCTACAAAAAAAGTAGCCACCAAAAATAACAGTTGGTTATATGCAGCAGAGACGCATTGGAATTATCTGGTAAAGTTATAGGGCCGTGCTACGAGCCTCATGGCCTCCCAGAGTGTCAATATTTAACAATGGGGCTTTCTGTGTTTCCAATGGGCGGTGCTTAAGTAGTGCGATACTGCAATTTTACTATAATGCTTCCGGTGGTCTCTACTGCCTATTACTGAAAGTTATTTTTTATAACTAGCTTTTTTCGAGAGATATGATTTTTTACGTCTGTTTCTCATTCAGTTATGACAGGTAACCATTGCTGCCTCAGAGAGGTGGCGCCAAGTACAGATGTCCATAAATTCTGCGAATTGCTGGGGTCCCCGGACAGGGAAATATTTAGGGCGAAGCCCCTTATGGCCTAGAGCAGTCCATCCCTCTGGCGTAGCCAGCATAGCTATCCACAGACAGACAGACAGACAGACAGACAGACAGACAGACAGACAGACAGACAGACAGACAGACAGACAGACAGACAGACAGACAGACAGACAGACAGACAGACAGAAGCACGAACGGATGAGTGGACGAACGCACGGACAGACTCATGGACGGACGCTTTGCCCCGATCATCATCATTACCTCCTTGGATATGCTGTAATTTTTTTCACCACTTCGTGAGAAATTTTAAATGTGGATCATTTCTTGGCAACGTTCCGCGATTTTGAGCGTATCTATCTATCTATCTATCTATCTATCTATCTATCTATCTATCTATCTATCTATCTATCTATCTATCTATCTATCTATCTATCTATCTATCTATCGTCTATCTATCTATCGTCTATCTATCTATCGTCTATCTATGTAACTATGTAACTATATAGATAGTTATATAGTTACATAGTTACACAGATAGATAGATAGATAGTTATATAGTTACATAGTTACACAGATAGATAGATAGATAGATAGATAGATAGATAGATAGATAGATAGATAGATAGATAGATAGATAGATAGATAGATAGATAGATAGATAGATAGATAGATAGATAGATAGATAGATAGATAGATAGATAGATAGATAGATAGATAGATAGATAGATAGATAGATAGATAGATAGATAGATAGATAGATAGATAGATAGATAGATAGATAGATAGATAGATAGATAGATAGATAGATAGATAGATAGATAGATAGATAGATAGATAGATAGATAGATAGATAGATAGATAGATAGATAGTCTATCTATCAATTTATCTATCCATCTACCGCCTACGACTTTCTGCTCTCCTGGTCGTATATTGGATGTAGACCACAACTAGTATCACATAACATGGCTGTATGGCGACCATAAATGACAGGTTTAATCAAGAAAACTATGACATAATTCTCACGAACAGCATGAATTTTCTTGTAGCTCCCTGCTACAGAATGGTGGCTGCCAGTTTCCCCTTTATTCATTTGTTTGTTTGTGCTGGTTTTCTCTTCAAACTGTTTTGCTGCTTTTAACACGTATGTTTAAGGTAGTGTAACCCTCAGAATGGCTCAGACATAAGTCGTTTATGTCATGCTTTCAGGGATTCTTGTATTTTTCTTTAGATACAACAGACGTCTCCAAAATTTGTATTTCTCATTGGACAAGTGGGATACTTCCTGGCAAACGCAGTGTATGGGTAAGTAACCAAATCATACACGACCTGCCGTACAAGCAAATTCGTCACCATCATCAGCCTGACCATATACGGCGACTGCAGGGCAAAGGCATCTCCCGTGATCCGCCAATGAACCCGGTCTTGTGATTTCTGCTGCCACGTTATGCCTGTGATCTTTTTGACTTCACCGGCCCACCTTACTTTCTGTCTTCCCCTCGTGCATCTGCCTTTTCTGGGAATCTAATCAGTCCCCCTAATGTACAGCAGTTATCCTGCCTACGCGCTACTTCCCTGCCCCTGTCCATTTCTTTTTCTTGATTTCAACTATGATATCCCTAATCACAGTTTGTTCCCTGACCCATTCTGCTCTCTTCTTGTCTCTTGAAGTTGCACCTATCATTTTTTTCTTTCCATCAATGGCTGCGTCATCCTCAATTTAAGCTGAACCCTCTTTGCAAGCCTCCTGGTTGTATACGGCTAGATGCAGCTGTTATATACCTTTCTCTTGAGAGTTAGTCGTAGATTCCCATTCGTGATTTGAAAATGCTTGCCGAACATGATCCACCCCATCTTTATTCTTCTAGTTATGTCACCCTCATGGTTCGGCTCCACGGTTACTACCTGTCCTATGTAGACATATTCCTTTATAACTTTCAGCGTATCTCCACCTATCGCAAAGCGCTGTTTTCTGCCGAGACTGTTGCACATTACATTAGTTTTATGCACTTTATTTTTAAGACCCACTCTTCTGCTTTCTGCGTCCAGTTCAGTAAACATCGGGTGTAAAACATTAAATCTATGCATTTCCAAATTGAAGCAAGAAACAGTTGAGTTGATGGACTGCAGGAACCGCGGGCTCTCTGAATTGACGAGTAGAATGTAAAGTACATGGATTCGATGCCCAATATTGTCCGTGCAATGTTTTGAAAATGAAGACGCATTGCTTCTTATATACTGGAAACAAATACTGATAAAGTTACAGGGAAATTAGACGACGCAAACCACCAAAAAAGAACAGGCAAAAGTGAACAGCTTCACTCGCAACTAACGTTATTACTGTAACACCACCGCATGCAGTCAATATTCTTCGTAGTTTGCATCATCTAAGTTTTTTGTAGCACGCACAACTAACCGAACGAGTCTTACTGTGAAAGTTGAAGCTGCTAATTTCTTGTTTTTTCATTATCCTTAGTGCCTTGTACTGGATTCCTGGAAAGTACACGATGTTAAGTATCGCTCTGTTTGGAGGTGCGTTAGGTGGATTGAGTGAGTCTCTGTACTGCGTCTCCAGCTATGCAACCGCCACAGTTGTATTGGCCGACCACCTTGGCTTCGCCGTTGTGAGTTGATTTACTCAAAACTCTTTATCGCGTCATTAGAACTTGACAATATTCAGGCCTTGCTAACACTCTCGCGAAATTTTCAGGCGGGAATGCAAGTCCTGTGGGGATCAGGAGGAGCGACGGGCGCCATCCTCGGGGGCGCTATTGCAGATGTAAGGCCTGTTTTCTTTATATTCAGCATTTCCGGTGCCACTGCGCTTGGTGTGAATCTTTATCTGAGTGTTTATTAATGTCGTAGAAGGTTAAACATGTAGCTTTTAAGGCCTAATAACATCGCAAAAAATATGTTACCATTGCAAATATACATGTGACTGTTGCAAAGTATATGTTCAAGTGTATCTCACTCTTAATAGTGATCACAATTGATTTGACCGTCTTTGCAACCACCTAAGCATGCATCACGTCTCCTGAATGTTGCGCAAAGACGAATCCGTCGAGTCATGCTAGTCATAAGCTTGCGGATGGTTCACCGCAACGCCCCTACCCCCCCCCCCCCCCTATAAGTAAGGCTAATACATGGAGCTATTTCGCCCTGCTGTTATCCTAGAGATGATTCGTTTTTTTTTCCTCCAGAAAACGCTATAATGAACAAGTGTGAACGAGTTACTCTATTTCTCTTTGAAATATACATGTGTACTACGCGCGTGTGTGTATGTTTATTTTGTGCTTATAACGCGTGATTTAGCTAAGAACTTCTCTCATCCTGTTACAACTGTAACAGTTCGATCAGCTACTCATAAATTTATTTATTTTTCTCGTAGGTCTGGGGGTATCCTGCGTCATTCTTTGTGATGTCATCAGTATTCATGCTGTCTTCTCCTTTCATCGCAACGTCGCGGATCTTCCGAAGAGACCGAAAACGTGAGACGGCCCACTCAATATTTAGCAACTCAATCATGAACATAGTCTCGCAACTAACTTGAATTAAAATTAAATACTCTGAGCGGGACGTGACTGGCATTGCAAAAAAAAAAAACTTATTTTTCGCAGTTTGATTCACTGTACTGGTCAACATGAAGCGAACAGCCTGTCAGGTATATTTCATTTAGGCCAAACCTCCGAAAACTTCAAACAGCTTTTTAGAAAACACCTATGTCATCAACTGTAAATTTTCTAGTGTTTTACATTATAATTGCTTTCGGCTTTACTATTCTGTAATTACATAGTTAAGACAGAGTAGCGATGGGAGTAACACTTCTCATGGTCATCATCTATTGATTGTTTTCTTTTTTTACGAAGGATCCAATGAAACTACTGTGATTATACATTACTAGAGTGTATAGAAGAAACATCAAAGAAAAAAATTGAAAATAACAGCTTTAGTAAGGTTTCTTACAGAGCAAATTAAGGACAAGATTAATCTATAGCACACATGAATACACAGTGCCCTGTGTGTCTCCTGGACAAGAGGGCTGTGCGCCTTGTCGTAAGGGTGGCTCATCGACCCTTCGTGAATCCCACGTGCGCAACCGTACAATCTTTCCAGCTTAAGGTACCTGGAGACCCCTTAAACACAGTTGGTGATAGAATGCGGCTTGTTGTCAATATCTGTTGAATGGCTCGTTATAGGTCGAGATATACCGGCAGCAACTAAATAATATTGTCCGCCGATGTGATGCGTTCAAACTACGTTCCTATTCCATTCATTTTTAATCTTTGATTCCGCGGCTTTTCATCCATGTGGAGTGCAGTCACAACGAACAAGCCATAACACGGCATATATCTTCTAAGCGACGGTGGCTACATATGAATACGCAGCCCGTTTATACTACTTTTGTCAACCTGTGGCCAAAAGAAAGCAAGAAAAAGCATGGCTTGTTGGATGAACTGGCATCTTTTACATAGTCGATACGACCTCACTTAACCTCAGTGTGCTGTAACCGATCACTTAGATGAAGGCAATGCAGCGGTCGTTCGACTTGCCGCGCTTAAGAACCAACATTTTCCATTTCTTTTGTTGAAGCGAATAAAACCGAAAAGTAAGTGCGAAGACATTTGGAGCCTATTATTTTTCTATGTCACACTGAAGCATGAATAACTTCTGATTAAATATTTTATAACATGGTAATCACAAGTAATTACTCAAAGTAACAGAAATCAGCACATTGCTCTATTTTTTTTTCTTGTAATGTAGTCTTGAGTGCCTTGGAGCTAATACTGTTACGGGGAATAAAGTATACACTGGTGAGCATCCTCAGGCATCTACTTAGCCCGTGAAAATACTAGTGAATTCGAGTAGATCGTAGACAATGCATCATAATTCCAGCTTGAATGGGAGGTAGCTCGAAACCTAGCAACGCTCTCATTTCCCAGCTTAACATTACTCTGCATCCGTTTTTTTTTTTTTTTCGGTTGTCAATAAAGCTGTTTCTTTCTCTCTTTTTTTTTACAAACCCAGTTCATCTTCTATTGCTTTAACCACTGTTCTTTTGTCTTTGCAGCCCCAGTTGGGAATGGCCGCATTAATGGAGAGATTGCTGTTGTGGAAACAGATATGAAGCATTACTGGCTGCTTCGTGATCCTACCTTTATTTCATACTTGGTTAACCTATTCCTTGACGGTCTCATATTTGGATTCATTGAACCAACGTTAGAGCCCTATCTAGATCAGGTGCGTCATACGAATGCATATTCGGAAAAGCCCGCTTGCGTGGATATTTTCACTTTTTAATGTTGAATGCACTTTTCTCTCTTACGCAGTTTGACCATAGCAGTTCGGGCGTTGGCAGTGTTTTCAGCGTTTACTCTGTTACCTTCTGCATTGCTTCCGCCGTATGCGGTTTTATCTGTCACTGTAAGGTAAGAACCAGCACATCAACTCATTTGTTATAGTTTTGAACAGAATCATCAGTTCTAAACTCAAAGAAGACATTACATGACATCTAATCTGCTCCATGCGAAGTCGCATAACTCGGGAGGATAACACAATAAGATATTGTGCGGTTGAAACAAAGGTTGAAACATTCTAGCTAATGCACGGCTCACTCATGTTCTCGACGATACTGATACGGCTTTCGCTGAGAACTCTAGCTACCTTAACCCACTGCTAAAGCTAAAGAGGGGTGATCCAGGTTAGATTGTTATAATTAAAGCGTATCTATGTCAATAGCTTAGCACACGACCCCCCCCCCCTTGTTAAGCTAAAGTTAATATGTAGTGTATGAGAAAACAACTAAACGCGCAAAAGACATCACAGCGTAAATCAAGAACGAGAAATCGGCCCGGGCAGGGCATGTAGTGCGTATACGCAAGATATCCGCTGGTTATTAAGAAAAACATGCGGGTTTACATGGGAGATTGAACGCCCGACGATGAGACAGAGGGCTAGGTGGGCAGATGAGATTAAGACGTTTGCAAGTACGATGTGGCCGCAGAAAGTACAGGACCCGGTTGATTGGAGAAGGAACATAAAAGCTTTTGCCCTGCAGAGGGTGATGTCGGATTTATTATGATGTTGATGATTAAAATAAATTTAGTGATAAGCAAGAGAGATATATAGCTTAAAGAAAATAATCGAAACCTTGCTTTCTTGAGCAGTTATTGAGTTCGTGTTCATGCGTGATTCTTTGCGCGCCGAATTAACAAACCCGTTTACGCTTTTCTTCTTTCCGTAGGCCGAGACCCGTTGCCTACCGCTGGTCCACTTGTTTAACATATTGGGCTTCCTCCTGATAGGCCCAGCACCTTTTCTTCCATTTAAACCGTGAGAGCAGTGTTTTCTTCATATTGCTTGCCTCTTCCCGTCACACACTTCCTTTTCATTGCACATATACAGACAGGAGCATAGATGTGCCTATACGAGGGCTAAACATCTCTGGAAATATTCTTATTCAATGAAAAGTGACTACATTAGCAGTAGCTACCCGGAAGCTTAACTGCAAGAAAATACAAAAATATGAACAAGTGTTCATAAAACGCCTTTGTGTCGTGCGCTCCTTTGTCGCTTGAGATTTACGTTGTTACGGAGATGACGTAAAGGAAGAGGAAGGACACAATCAGCTGACAGGCCCGCGAGTGTGCCAATACGCCATTGTGACTCTGAAATTTTTGCGCCGTTGAATTTGTCACGCTTTTTTTAGTGAATTAATTCAATTGTTACTCCAAAAAGTGTTTCAGAGCCCCTTTAAGTGCAGAGCATTTAGGGCGCCAGGCTGTCGTATCCCATATGTTGTCGTCGCTTGCTGTAACGCAGGCATCACCACATGCAGCATATATCCACTGCACATATTGAGCACGCGCTCTTGCCAAAGATAGGTCGTCGTCCTCATGTTCTTCGAGCGCCTTGATGATGACATCAAAGCAAGCATAATCATATATAGCATAGCCATCTGTAGCATACTGAGCACGTGATCACGCCTAAAAAACAAAGAACAAAAGGAAGATGACTTTAATTTTAGGTCTGGTAGACTCGTGCCCCCAATCTTCCATGGGGTGGGTGCCCTCCCAAAACTATGAACTTCGTTCTGCCGAGAACCAGGCCGAAAGTGCGCTTGTACTTATTGAACAAGTAGGTACCTGGCGGCAGCAATTCTCTGCCTCCCACAGCAGCAACGGATGCTCAAATGTTTGCAAAACACCCCCAGTTTTTACCTCAATGAACCAGTGTCTGGTCTCGAACGTCATACCAACATACAAGTTGATAAAGCTGGAGTGCTATCAAGTGTAAGAAAATTTAATGTGTGAGTGAACTATCTAAACCGGTACTTACGAGTGTAATAGCACCCTTGGCACGATGCTGCACGACGTTTTTTGAGCGAGATGAAGCCCCGAAATCACTGTGAGGAAAGCGTGAGATGAAACTACATGAGGAATGAGCGAGGACATCAGAAAAACGAGAACAACAGCTGCGGTGGTATTCTCAGCCAAACGCTTTGGAGATACTTTGCGAGCATCGATACCGTATGGTGGGTGTTTGCAACTGTTCGTAGAGCTTAGTACATATGTAAAAAAAAGTTGCACTGCCAGGTAAGCGCATATGTCCAATATAAAAGAAACTTGCAGAAAGTGAGATCATATTATCTCTAAAAGGAACCGCTCGTGAGGAAAGCAACCTCCTATTATTGTATATATGCTGCCTGATGTGTTAAAACTGCGAATTCAATACGAGACACACTGCAGAATAATTTGGTATCCAAGCACAAACATGTTCTTGCTCTTCGCTCACGTTGTAATGCGGCTACCGCGGCCGAGAATCAAACCCAATATCGAGTTTAACAGCGCGGCAACACAAATCTGATCACAGTGTGTACGATGAAGCGTGGTAACCGTTGGTCACTGTACTGAACAAAATTTTTTCGTCATTTTACTAGGAGCATTACTGATGCTGTTTTCGTCATCCGTCTGTAGCTTTAGTCAAGCGAAAAGCGATCGCAAGCAGCAGAATAGTATACGATGCGAGCGCATGTTATGTAGGCGAGCCATGGCGGGCGACTAAGCATCCTTGCCGTGACGTCATCCAGCCATCCCACCAAGCGGCATCCCCCCCCCCACACACACACACACACAAGTTCTCGGAGCTAATACAAGAACCTGGCCCCGCCGCGGTGGTCTAGTGGCTGGTACTCGGCTGCTGACCCGCAGGGCGCGGGTTCAAATCCCGGCTGCGGCGGCTGCATTTCCGATGGAGGCGGAAATGTTGTAGGCCCGTGTGCTCAGATTTGGGTGCACGTTAAAGAACCCCAGGTGGTCTAAATTTCCGGAGTCCTCCACTACGGCGTCTCTCATAATCATATAGTGGTTTTGGGACGTTAAACCCCACATATCAATCAATCAATACAAGAAACTGTCGTTAGGAAAGACGGCACAGGAGGGAAAGCAAAGGCCGGTATGTTAAGCAGTCCAGAAGTACTGATAGTAGCTGCAATATCAGCTTGAGAACCGGAAGTTGGGTCGACGTTCATTGTTTCGCGCAGTGGTGTTTCGGCTGCAGTATTTTGTATATTAGGATGATTGATACACTATTGAATATACCGGAAATACATATGTCCAAAGTCATTTTGCAAGACGAGTTGCGAAACAGATGCAAGATACCCAAAGAGTATCTAAAATAGCATGTAAGATACATGTATATTTTATACTGCCCAGCCCTGCAGGGCCTAAGTATTTCTGTGTACAACCTCTTTTAACGTATACCGGTGTACACTCCTTTGCGTAAACCGGGATACTTTACACGTTGATAAACCTGACTGATGACAATGCCGAAGCGGTCATTCAATCTTCATTATCCAAATTAAATAAAATTTAAATGCAGTTATCATCACAATGTAGTGGTTTGCACAAACATTTTACGCACGTACAAAACGTTTACGTACGTATAGGGAGCTAAAACTTTTCTAAAACACACTTTCCCGTAACACGCTAAACTAAATCTGGTATTGTGTTAACACATGAACGATAAAAAGCACACGTATGAGTTAAAAGTCTCTATTGTACACGTGTTTCTGCAGTAATAGGGGGCGACGAGTAGATACCTTCCATAAGAAGGGTAGTGAAGGTGAAAAAAAAAAAACTACTCTCTCGACTACGGGCCAGTGTGAACACCTTTGACTATTGTGTGGCACCACTGCCAAATACGCGCCAGCTCATTTACTGATCGCTTTCTTCCTTCCTGTCCCTCCTCTCTCACTTCCATCTTGATATTCGCTTTTCTCATTTCCCATGCACAGGGTAGCCAACGAACCAGAAATGTGTCTGTTCTTTCCTTTCTTTCTCCATCCGTCAATCTGTCTTAAAAATGCATTGTGTCTTAAAAATTAGGCCTTCCGACAAACAGATTCTCAAGCGACAGCAGTGAAACGACGTTAGACTCGCATTAGATTTTCCGATAATTAACGATTGTTTAACCGTAAATTTCAATATTTGGAAACTCCCTATCATACTCGTCTGTATGCTGTTGCCATCGACCATCAAACTAGTTTTATCTCACAAAATTCCAGCCCATTGAAGACCAACACTTATTTGTCCACGCAACGCGCATTGCACTTGCTCCAATACGTAATTTGTTCTCTGTGTTCCATTTTCAGTTTTCATGCATCGCTCAACAAAATGCTTAGCTGGATAAGAGTGTGTGACATTTATCTCTTATATTACAGCCACATGAACTTCATTTACGTCTCTCAAGCACTGCTGGGTGCAGGAGTCGCATCGCTGCACGCCCTTTCATATTCAAGCGCAATCAAGCGTGCAATGTAAGTTTATTTTCACACAAAAAGTGAAAATACAGAGACCATTGATGTTCATTAATAATTGCATTACACAAAATTGGCGCTCAAACGTGCATAAAGAAATGCCTGTTATATATACATGTAAAGCCTTCGAGTGTGCAGCGTTAAGAAAGTGTAATGAGAAAATAATAGACTATCACACACGCCACCCTCTACCTTTTCGTTATAGTTTTTTGCGCAATACCATATACCAGTCTGAAGTCAAAATTTACAAATCAGCCAAAACCAGTATTCACTTGAGAACAATTTTTATCTGAAGAAAAATTTGCTGCTTTAGCTACATTTTTATTTACAACAGTGGCATTCCTTGCTGAGGTCGTGCGTAAGTTCTTCAGGTCACCTACAGCGTAATCTCTACAGATTACGCTGTAGGTGACCCTCAAGTAACCTTCAGCAAAAACCGGAGCCGTTCTCTTTTCTCCCGGCACCCAAACAAGTACATCCGGGAAACTATTCAAATGCTGAGACAATGTGGTCTTGGACCATAAGTGTGCGCAAGATTCCCCCTCAGTGGGGAGTGGCGAAGCTTCCTCGCAGAGCCTATGTAAATGTATGGGGAAAATTTTCCGCCTCCTCTTAGGTAACCGGAGGAGGCGGCCGCCCCCTTTCCCCCCTTTCGAAGGGGGGCACTCATATATCTAGGGTTCCTTACCCTTTAGATAACAGTTCCATTAGAAATTGGCTGGAGCGATCACTATAGGCACACGCTATCTTCCATGGTAGATGATACTACCAAATTTGCATTTCAGATTCTACTGCATCAATAGTAAAGAACTACGATGATGTGCGATTTTTTCTGCTTTTTTATTGCAGAGCTAAAGGTTATAAAGAAGACATCGACACCAGCAGTTTCGTGTGTGGTGCAATATTTGCCTCATTCGTCGTCGGGTAAGTCCTTCTGGACTTCAGACCAGCAAAAACATTTTTATTAACAACTGAATCGATTTCTTCGCGCGCATGTTTAGCTAATGAAAAATGAATAGTGAGTATTGATAACAATGTTATGATTTATTTTGACAGCGCACACAAAAATGCGCATTAAAACCCCTCCATGCACACTAAAGATGCGTGAACTAACTGTATGTTCCTCCATATTTCAAGGTAAACAGTGCTACTTCTCAGTGTTGGCAAAGGAATTGAGGGACCCTTATGTTTCACCGTTACGAGTTGAACGCGATAACGATATCTGATCCCTGGTGCGTACTTCGAACACTGTGCATGAACTCTTTTCAAATTTGCTATGCGCCCACTACGCGGCCTTAAAGGGGCCCTAAAACACTTTTTCAAGTAACCATGAAATTAATTCACTGGAAAATGTAGTGACTTACAAATTCAACACCGCAAAAGTTGTAAGAATCCGTCCAGTACGAGCGGAGTTACTAAGATTAGTCACAAGTTGCAATCACTTGATTGATTGATATGTGGAGTTTAACGTTCTAAAACCACCATATGATAATGAGAGACGCGCGTTGCAATTGCATTCTCTCTTCTCTCGTCCAGACGAAAGCGCTGGAAGCTAAGCAGGGAGGGATGGGAGGAGCACACGAAAAACGTCACGCACGCCTCGTGACCTTGAGCACTTTTTCCTTTTTTTTTTTACCTCGAATACGCGGCTTCTTTAGTGCGAACGAGCGCGCACGCGTGGACAAGTGACGGCCTCTCACGGCGATCTTTGTAACAACCGAGCGCGCCATGCTCAAATCAGCCAATGGCTGATAGATGGGTAATGTACGTGTGATTTTCGAGCGTTTTCCGTCATTTGTCGAGAGAAGAAAAAGCAATTTTTATCTGACTTTGATAATTTATTGTGAACTCTAGGCCACGTGCCGTGCTATATTATTTGGCTAGCGTGTTCTCGGGAGCCTCTACTACAGATCGGCAGCGTTTTCTGACCATGCTTAAAAAGTGTCGCAGGGCCCCTTTAAGGAAACAGGCGCAGTCACGTACGTGTGTACCTTTTATAGTGCGTGACCATCTTTAGAGCATGAAGTCATTATAATTGATCATCACATGTCCTGACGCCCGATGCCCATGTACGCTTGTTCCACGCATTACTACTGCCATATTTCATGTTGTATTGTAAAGCACGCATTCAGAAAGCGTGTTTTTGTCAAGCATGAAAGTTACTTGACAGCATTTCCAAGCAGTGCAAGTTATTTTCACTGCATTCACGTGCAGACGCATGGCTGTGTGGTAGAACATGCGCTTGCCACGCAAACGACCAGGGTACAATTCTCACTCGCGTCCAGTGTTTTTCATCATTTATTTTATTTGCATCTTTCTCATTTTTTTTTCGGTCACGCACAAGCTGATTTTTCGTTCACAATCAACGAAGCTGACGCCGACGCCAGAATTTCTGCGAAATGAGCTCTTTAAGATTATCGCCTTTTAAAAAAATCAACAAAAAAACAAAATTTGAAGAAAAATATACGAACCCGCAGATTTCGGGATAAAATTCTGACCGCAGCGGTCACATTTTGATGGAAGCTAAGCGCTAGTGGCCCGTGCTCTTAGATTTAGGTGAACATTGAAGAACCCCAGGTGGTTGAAATTTCCGGAGCCCTCCACAACGGCGTCTCTCTTATCGCAGTTTAGGGAAGTGAAAGCCCGAACAGGTATTAAGCACTGTCTTCCAAGTGAAAAAAAAAAAAAACTCTGCCAGACACGAGAAACATAAGGATGTTGCGGAATGAGACAAATTATTACGATACTGCCTATTGCTACTACGCAGCGCAGATTCGTGTTGGGGCAATGACGACTGTGTTAGAAGTTTCAGCTTTCCGCAAGGCATCGACTACGTCATGGTTTTTCTGAAATATATAGGACAGCTGAGACGGCGAAAGTATCCGTCACCGCACAGTAAACTGAACAGGCCTCAGCGATGACGTTCAGACTCCTGCAGGTCGGTGCATATCCCACTCCCGCACTCTTGCACAAAATATACCCAGAAATACAGACTCCAAACACATGCGCGCTTTGCTGAGGCTTTGTCAGCTTAGATCATATGCTCTGGAGGTGCCGTGCGTTACGGGTCGAAAACGTCACATCGTCAAAGTCGGAGGCAGCGCTACGCAGTACGGATTTAGGTACGCAGCTATGGGCAATCCAACGGGCCCACGACTTGACAGACAGGTTAGGTATATCTGTCCCAACGTGGTAGCTGTCAGCTACGTGCTAGTTCGCGCCCCGACAGACCTAAATGAAGTTTTTTTCTATACCATATAGAACAGCACCCACTACGCCATTACTCGTCTTTCTACGGATGAGTGAGGCGCTTGCTACAAACCTGTAAGGTATTAGGATGCTGCTGCGCATAGAGTGATGACGATGAATAATTATGGCTGAGCATTTCGCAGAGATTCTATACTTAGTTATATAGGTCATTCATGTTTAATCACTTCTATCTTATTATTCGTTTCTTGGCCAATCCTGCAGAGTGGGTTTGAGCCGCTCATATAAGCAATCATCATCATCATCATCTTCATCATCATCGCCAGCATCACTTTGCAGTGGGTGGGAAGCATCTTTGCAAATTAGTTTCTGGAACCAGTGTCACTCTCTGGTTGAATACTCGACTGTCACGCCAAGGACCCGCGTTCAATCCTCATTCGATTGGCAGCATTTTTTTTATTTTTCAATGTTTATTGGTCACGCCACCGATGGCGACGGCGCTCAACGCTGCACTCTCAAAAGAATTGCGAAGAGTGTCTTGTTCTCATTTCATGTGTTCTCCTAAACAGGCAGTTCTTCTAGCAAACTGATGCATCGCTCACAGATGTATGGTATAGCTTAATGTGCCATCTGTCCGGCATGACTGAGTTCGCAAACTTCTGGTGTTTGCCAACTACATTGATTTGTTTAAACAGAATGGTGACCAAACACTGTCGTCACTAAACTGCACATCTGTTTCTTCCAACAGCGCAACCCTGAGTCCGCCTATCAGCGGTTATGTCGTTGAAGCATTAGGATTCCGAGTCGGCTCCATGATACTTTTCGGAGTACTGGTTGCTTGGGTAAGTGCAGCACGAAAACGACAAATATACATCAGTTTTTTTTTTTTTGCAGTTCTCTGATATATGCAGTGAATAAATAACGCAGAGATTTCATCTGCGAATGATATAAACTAACAATATCTCATATATGCGTGATCAACCAAAATACAAATCGAGTAAACGGGTAACTACTTAATTTAAGAGAGTAGGTTGGAGTAAAAGGGAGAGCTTGATTTGAGTTCGTTTAACGCGACACAGAACAAAGCTCGACAACACGACTGACAACTGAGTGCTTTATTCAAACCAGAGTGTATACTAGAACAGGAGAATGCTAGGAACAAGGTTCGAAGAGTGAAGCCCATACGGTGAATTCGCGAGGTGCGCTGCCACAGGTAGTCTGCAATGCGTCGTCGTTTATAAAAGCTGCGTGCGCTGCTCCGCCGAAGTGGGGGTCCGGGTTTGAATCACAGCTGTAAATGGCGTTTTTATTCTTAGTATCTGATTTTATAGCTGTAATTGTTTTCCTTTGCTTCCTAAAACTGGTTTCAGTTGCTATGCATTGCAACAAAAATGACATGGGAAGTGAAATAAAAGAAACTTGTCAGTGAGCGTGATAAATTACAGCGCACCCACACGGCAGTCAACAAAAATGCAGAGGGTGGCCTCCGACTTTTTCGTGATCACGAAATTTGAAACGGGATTTGACATTTCACGTTACTTTTTGCAGCAATGTGTAGCTGAACCTTGTCTTAAGAAACAAAGAAAACCCGATACAGCCATGGCAAGCTACAATGAAAACCCACCATCTACTACTGAGATTGCAATCCACGCCTTTTGAGCTGGAAATGAGCATCCCACCCCTTCACTAGTTTGGCAAAGCCGTGAGCAAGGTCCTAAACAACGACACTTTGCAGACTACCCTTCGCAGCGCCGCTAGTTGTATGACCCTGTTTGGGCTTCACTTTCTGTACATTGGTCCTGCGGCCGTTCCGAGCACTCCCCTGCTCTAGTACATACTAACTCAAACTAACGAGAAAAATACATGGATGTTATGCACATGACCAAATGACTAGACTTGTAACATCGAGTTATCCGAGCAACTCTACTCGCAATCGAGCAGTGCAATAGGCGGTGCACGTGCCAACAGACGTGTCGCCATGTTTGCAAATAGCGAAACCTTCCACTGTCTTTGTTCGTCAAAGCCGGCGAACTCCGTCATCCCACCCAGAGGCGGCGCCAGGAAGAGGGGGTACAGGGGCCTTAATCTCCCCCCCCCCCTCTTTTTTTCGCCTGCACCCTCCTTTGCTCCCCCTCCCCCCAAATAAGCCCAGTCCAAACACAACGCATAGCTTTCCCGCCTCTGTACCCCACTAACGGAATTCGCTTGTTACCCCACTAAGAAAATCCTGGCGCCGCTGTAGTGCCAACACAGGTGGCACAATGGGCAGATGAATGAGAATATGGCGTACCCTGCAAAGAGCCCCTAAGCCATACCAAATTTAGATTACAGCTTCGTTCTCGATACCTTTTCAAAAAGCCTCGCCACTTATATCTTAATAGAACGCGTGGAATGCATAATAGGCCAGTCGGGATTTCGCCCTTTTCTATTACACGCTACTATCTCCTCTTGCGCAGACACAAGCACAGAAAACGAAATGAAATTAATTTATCGCACAGGATAGTCATGTGAGACCGACAAAAAACGGGCATGCGACGGCACGGAAAAGCAGGAGACAATCCACAACTGATATCCCTAGGCATCACGCTTGTTCACGTGATGTGAGCAAACTGCCAGCATTACGAATTTGTGCCACAAACACGGGAAATATCGGGAGAGAACAATGCGCTCGTTCTTCGTATCTTCAGAGGTTGTTTAGGGGTCCTTTAAATAGATGTGGTACTCACACAAATCAATGTTGAGGTAGTACCCCGTTTGACCCACATAAACCTTACCGCCTGAAAACGGAATAGAAAAAAGAAAATATATGACTTTTGTTTCGCAAGGAGGAAACCAATCGAATGCTCGACTGCGAACATTCTACTAGATGACCTATTCTGATTCGAGAAAAGCTTATTAATTCTGGTGCACCAGCTGTTGAGCTTACTTTTGGCAGCAAGGTAGACATCAACATTGAACTTGTCATTGAACATTGAACTTGTCATTGAACATTGAACTTGTCATCAACCATGAACTTGTCATCAACATTGAACATTGAATTTACTTATGCGGTGACACATACCATGAATAAGCGGAATCATCGTTTGCCTTTCACACCATGATTTGGCATTACGTGGTTCTGCATCAACATGTCCAACTTTGCTCAAAACTTTCATTGATGCGGAGAAAACGGTGTGAATGGGGAAAGCTGCATGCCTCAGAAGTCGAAGTTCATATATAAAGCTAGAAGACATTTTGTGGACTCTAGACTTGGTAAGGGCAAAAAAAAAAATGGTGTCAACCATTTTTCATGGTGTTCCGCAGTTTTCCAAAACTGCGTTAACCAGTTGTCATACAGAGCTCATGTTCTTAAGTCTTCTGCTGGGTCGCTCACCTTTTGCGCTGTTTTAACGTGAGTTTGTTAAAGGCAGGCTGAAGCAAAAAGCGTAAAGAGGGCGGATTTCTCTTAGAACTTGCGCGTTTATAGAGAGAAAACATTTTGATGAGGATTTACATTCCGAAACTATGATTTATTATGAAGCATACTGAGCCTGGTGAGTATGGGGAATGAAACCTACAGGCAGCTGCTTTTGTTGAATCTTGCATTTCAATATTACATTATAAAGGTTAGATGTAGGTAACAACTCGACACATGCTGCGAGCTTGTCATACGAGGTCCAGTCGCTTTTGAGCATTCTCTAACACAAGCGTACGCTGTCTTTCACGTATTGCTGCATGGCTTACGATTGTGAGCACCTAGGATGATAAGTGTTATGCTAGAGTGGAATGTTTGCCAACCAAAGGCTCAGTCACCAGTGCATGCAGCAATGGTCACTCTTCACAAATATTCGGATCATCCTAATGAAACAGATGCTGTATGCCTATCGTATACCCTGCCTCTCTGAATTTGCTGTGTTCTCGAGAGAGTTTTCATGATTCATTATGCTGTGCTCTTGTTTATTCCAGATGCCAGCCCTGCTACTCCTCCAGAAGAACTCAAGCAGTGCACACTGACCTCACCGGACGCGCATAGTGACCTGGTCGGAAAATATTTTCTCATTAGGAGAAAGGGATTTCTTCAGTGTGAAGTGACCTTAGTATCTGTTCATTTTTTATAAACATAAAATAGCCCTGACAAAAACAGACCAGCAAAAAGCTGACGACTATATAAGTTCGTTTACGGGGAAGGCAGACGCCATATGACAAGAGCTTCAACATAAAGAGCAGAGAGTGGCGATAAGCAATTACGCTTACACTGACGTAATGCATGTCAATCGCCTTATGCGGTCCAATAACTTATTTTAAGGCACAGCGGTTAAAAATGAATGCCATGCACAGATTCTGGCAATCAATTTTTTTTTTCTCGTTTCTTCAGCACAATTTTTTTTTTCACTCTAGCTGGATGCGGATCTTATTTCCCGCACAGGAATCGCACCACTAGACAAAGACGCTAAATGAAGTAAACATAACGAGCACTACTACATGTCTACGATAACGCGCAATAGAAACATTCTACACGTGAAATACTCACAAGTACACTTGTAAAATACTTATGCACACCCACGAGTCAGTATTTTTTTAATTGAACATAGCGAACTGTTTTGTGATATACGATGGTAGCCTTAAGTAGTTCTAGTTACTAAGGTACTCGGCTGCTGACCCGCAGGCCGCGGGATCAAATCCCGGCTGTGGTTGCTGCTTTTCCGATGGAGGCGGAAATGTTGTAGGCCCGTGTGCTCAGATTTGGGTGCACGTTAAAGAACCCCAGGTGGTCGAAATTTCCGGAGCCCTCCACTACGGCGTCTCTCCTGATCATATGGTGGTTTTGGGATGTTAAACCCCACAAATCAATCAATCAATTATTCGATTTATTTTTTAATAATAAAAGAAGGTCGTGATGATGTTTACGACTTCCGTAGCACAAATCTAGCGCACGATTGATCGTCGTCGAGACAACAATCCGCTTATTGTGTCGGCCAACAAAAGGTTTATAAATGTTCATCAATAAACAAAAAAAACCGATTGAAGAACCTTTTGAATGCACGGATTTACGAGTCTTCTCTTCACACTGGGATTGCTACGGACATTAAAGGGCCACTCACCAGGCTCCTTACGAAATTTTAATTAGACCGCGGAACTTTTGGGTGCCTGATGATGATGAGAAAAAACGCCACTCGCGCGCACAAAGGTTGGGCTTGTTCCGGTACGTAATGCGCACGTCACCTCTTGGTCGGATGCCGGAGAGGCTGGGGAAGAGGTTTGGCTTGCGAAAGCTACGCGGAGGAGCGGCAAGGGTTTCCAGTTCGCCTCCTCTCATCCTCGTTTCGCGCCGCTTCAAGAAACCTGTTTTCTTCGCTCGTGATGAACCGATTCAAAACATTTTTGTGGCAAAACGTTCCTCATCGAACAACCAACAACTTCCACTGTCTAACTAAAATTTGGTGTGGGGCCTGGTGGGTGGTCCTCTAAAAAGATACGCAGAGAAAGAGATGAAAAGGAAGGCAGGGAGGTAAGATATTGGCATCCTGTTCGCTACGTTGCACTGGGAAGGAGAAATTGTGTTCAGAAAGAGTGTGCACAGAGAGAGAGAAAAGGAAATAAGGCACAACTACACAGGAAAAAAATAGTACACACGCAAGAAGGGTATTTTGATTATCGCAAAGTCATGCTCAAGAGGTAGTGCGTGTGCAGTGGGGGCGGTCGCCTTCACACCCTTAGTCACCTAAGAGGGGCGAAGGGCAATATCCACCCCACAATTTTGACTTTGTACGGATGAGTGCTGAAACAAACCTCCCCCTCCCCCGCCCCCGATGGGGAAGTTTTAGCACACCTATACTGATTACAAGACATTCAGAAAGGCCTGCCAATTGCAAGAAGCGCAGTAGCGTTTGCAGAGCCTTCTTATACACAACATTGTGTTATGTCGAGAGCGTAGAATTTACTTTAGCAACGAGGCGACGAAGAAACATTTGAATATATTTTTTGCCGGCTGCTCACAGTACAGTACACAACGTTTATGTCTGTGCAATGCGCCCAACAAGTTTTATGACATATTTAAAATTTGCGACGATGTTCACTCCTAACGAGCGCCCCGCCGCGGTGGTCTACTGGCCAAGGTACTCGGCTGCTGACCCGCAGGTCGCGGGATCAAATCCCGGCTGCGGCGGCTGCATTTCCGATGGAGGCGGAAATGATGTAGGTCCGTGTGCTCAGATTTTGGTGCATGTTAAAGAACCCCGGGTGTTCGAAATTTCCGGAGCCCTCCACCACAGCGTCTCTCATAATCATATGGTGGTTTTTGGGACGTTAAACCCCACATATCAATCACTCCTAATGAGCGAAAGAAAGGAGCACCAAGAGCACAATTTGCAGATACGCAGAAATGCCTTCTTTGCCTTCCAGTACGATGACAAATCGCGAAAACTGTTGGTTTGGCTCCTACAGGTTGCGAACTTTATTTTTTTGCTTACTTTCTCTGCTTTGGTAGACAACATTGGGCAATTTCAATGCTATAAATTATCTCGAAAGAGCCGACATCTCAACTTCACTGCTCAAGGTAAGGTAATTAAGAAAAGTCTTACCTGTAGAACCACGTGGTGGCAAGATAAAACGTCGGTGTTCTGAGACGCACTATCGAGGAGTCACTGCGCCTATGGTGGACCATGAAGCAGTTTCAGGCGCACCGAACTGGTTCTCGAAGCAGCGCATTATAACGCGGAGTCACGGTTTAAGATGTACACACCTTATGTCGGGGAGCTTCTCGGCTCGACTGCGCGATCTAGAAGCATCGGTACGGTGACGGTCGCGATTATCTATTGGTGATACGACGAAATTTCAAGACAGAAAAAGTTGTATCTCCAGTTGCTATGGCAGCCAGCGCTTCGCGAGTAACCAGAAATTGTTGAGCCACGCGGTGTCAGCAGGTCAGTGACGTACAGTTGATGGCACCTCTATCACGCGCGTCCGACAGGAAGTCAGACAAACCACGTGCATCGAGACGGTTGTGATAGCGACGCGAGATAAGATCGTTTCTGTGTTTCGTTGTGTCTCCGACAGATGGGCGCTGCCGTCATCGGACCAATGGTTTCTCACCGTTGTTACGTTATCTAGCCCACCGCATCTATTCTCACCTAAAGGCTGGATATGAAAAAGTACGAAAGGAAGCTACGAAATAAAGTGTACCGCATTATATGCGCCAATTATCAACATCTTACTTCTGTTGCAGCCTCAGCTTTTTTTTTTCTAACTGTTCATCTTAACGAAAGAAAAGAAAAAGCTGCATCCACTAAACGTGAGTTTTCTAGGTGACGGGCATGCGTTTGCTACTGATCTGCTGTCGTTTTGTTGCGTACGATTCTTTCATAATTTTTGCGAGCGAGTAATGAGTGTAAGAAAAAGGTACACCATTTATCGCGTTCAGATGAAGTCATTCGCGATCACACATGCTCACGATTTTCATCGAAACCAAATACGCGCAAGCAGTGCTCATCCGTGACAAGCGCTCGCTAATTTTGGCCCGCACTTTGCAACTTAAGTTCCCGATTTTCATTGTTCCTTTTTTATCATGCCGCGCACCGACCACTCCCAGTGATCACGGCTGATGGAAGCGGCCGCCGAAGCGCGAACTGTCGACGTCTAACGTCCACAAACCAAGATATAACTAAGAATGACGCCGTAGCGAACCGCTCCGCAAATTTCGACCACCTGGGACTCGTTAGCGTGCACTTTAATCTTGGCACGCGGGTCTCAAAAGTTTTTCACCTCCATCGAAAAGGAACGTGGGAATAAGCGCTATCTGAAACACTTTTCAGTCCGCAACAAGCTGAAATATACCTCAAGAGGACGAGTGCGCATCTGCAGGAGAGCAAGAGCTCGTGTAGCCATGTTTTGGCTGGCTCGCTTTCCACCCAGAAAGCTGTTTCCTCAGCCGGCACTGAAGTTGAAACTCAATACGAGCCTGTTCAGCATTGAAACCTTAGCCGCGCCACAAACGTTCCCACGAGTCCGACTGCCAACTCGGGTTACCTTCCCTTCTCTGTTCGAGCGCATGCAGCACCGTGACGCGAGCAGTTTACCGCGTCTTATATCAGCCGCTAAACGCCGCGAGACACGACACCAACGCTTTGTCTCATCTGTTCCATGCAGTCCGGCTGCCCCTTGGAATAGGTGTGCAACAAAAAACAAAGAAAACACCAAGATTCGTGATTTACGTATACTTAGAAGTGTGGCAGCCTGGGCTAGTTGGTATGACATGACGATAGTTATAGCGCGAGAACAGAACGCCGACGCAGAAACAAGAAGGACACGAGCACTCGTGTCCTTCGTGTCCTTCTTGTCTCCGCGTGGTCGTTCTGTTCTCGCGCTATAACTATCGTTACGTATACTGTTACTGCTGAGAGTGCTTGACTGGGATCAACTACATAACTGAAGGCGTTACTCGCGTAGGCGTGCGCAAGCGTCCCCTTCAGGTGGGGCTAAGGCTCGTCACAGTGTCCCTCACCCCCTATTAAGACAATGCATGTGGCAGACTACGAGAAGGGGGAAGGGGGGAGTGACCGTCCTCCGACCTCCCCCCTGCGACACTCGCAACCAGAGGTCTCTGGTTGGGTAAGAACTATAGCTTGTAAATGACGCTTCCAACGCGAGCTTTCGCAGTGCTGCACAGATTTAGTGGCAGGTTAGTACAGACGTGGTCGAAGTTCGTTCTTTCGTTGTGATAGCATCACGGACTTGGGCAGATACGTCCCGCAGAAGGCACCATTTGCAGCCCGTGTAAGGTACGGATGTTTGTATCGCTGCCTGCTTGTGTCGAACCACCGCAGTGGGAGCATGCGCATCCTTTTTCCGATTTGGACGCGTGAATTTCGTTTAGAAGAGGAGCGTTGCTGCAACTTGTGGATGTTTCTAGGAGCACCAACTCTGGCCGTGATACCTCAACTGGAACTATGGGAGGCAAGTACCTAATACACGAGCATTCGTTTAAATATGGCGGTGATACGGGGTTATGTCGGTAAAGAGAATAATTTTGCTGGCGATGGCCCCAGCTGAGCACGCTTTGTGGTTATGCGCTTATCCTCGCCATCTTTGCAACTTCGCACCGTCATATGGGGTTGACGGGCAGAAAAAAGACCGCTAACCCACGCTAGTGAAAGATGAGGGCGGCAATACGTAGTGCAGCGTGAACGGCGCAGTGTTCACAAACTGCGAAATTGCGCAGCGATGGGCGTGGTAAAAGCAGATGATATACAACAACTACAATGAACTTAAAAGTAATCCATGAACAACTTGTAAAAATAATATTTTTTTTATCTTAAACCAAATGGTGACTGACTTCATTCCTGATAGCCGACACGCACTGCATGTTATGAACTGGTGAATAAGCTACGCATCTCTTAATGCACTTGTATAGTCACTACTTGCTCGTAAATCCCCACGTCAATCGGAAGTCGATTCAAAATCACACGGATATAGATACTGCTGATAAGTGGGCACAGTTCGAGTGCAGTGCACAGTTCGAGTATACGTTGGTATAGAAGTTCACTAGGGCGCACTGAAAAAAGAGCTTACGAATGCAATGAGCCGGCATGGCCCGTCACCCAACGGCCCCGATGTGTGCTATGCACAAAGGCATTCTTAAGATGAAGTAACAGGGGGATGACGATACAGCGCTACAGGTGTATCTAAAGCCCTATAGATTCGCGCCAGTGATTGGTCTGCCTGAGTGTCCATTTTCATTGTATGAGCCTTAGCATGAAACGTTTGAAGAGAGCTGGTCTGAACAGGGGGTTAAATGTTAAAGAACTTGATAGCGATGAGACTCTGGAAGTCTCATTTGTTCTTACCCATCGTCTCCGCCGTGGTGTAGCGGTGCCTGACCCGAAGGTCGCGGGTTCGATCCCAGCTTCGGCAGTCGCATTTCGATGGAGGCGAAAGCGTGCCGCGTATTACACCCCGTTAGAGCACGCTAATGAACACCAGACGGCCAACATTTCAGGAGCCCTCGCTTACGTCGTTTCATCCCATGATATCGTGGATCTGTCAAGTCGAAAAACAACACATTGTATTTGAAAAAAAATATGTTTTTGTTTTTTATTGTTTATTCATAACATACCCCGCAGCGCCCGAAGGCGTTATAGCAGGGGGGTTACATCAATAAATGACGTACATCTCCGTTCACACGCACAATACAACTTTGTTCACACATAAATAACTGAAATACATTTCCGTTCACACACATAGTAGAATTTTGTTCACACATCAATACATCTTCGTTCAGGTTACAACACGGGTTTACAGCAGTGAATAAAATATACCTTCATTCCCACTATGTACTTGCATTTCAGTTAGCCTGTTCCACTGTTTAATCGTTCTAGGAAAAAATGGATTAGCATACATGTACGTTTTAGCGGGGTATTCCCGCATTTCGCAACTATGATCAAAACGTTTTGAAGTGTAATGAGGGTTGTGTAGGTATATATCTCTATTAATTCCAGTTTTATTGTAGTAAATGCAGTAAAGAAATTTTAATCTCTGCTTCTTGGTGCTCAAAGAACCTTTCAGAAAGAAGACGGATAAGACAGAGTGCAGGTATATTTCTTTCAAAAATACAATACCAATCATCCCAAGTAGCCACTCTTTTACGTTATTATTGCCTCATGTATGTGTAACGTTATGATTAGAAATGTTTCAGTAAAGACTTCTTCACGCCTACGAAGGACATCGCTGTGGAGACTATTCGCGAGTGGCGACCAAAAAGCGACTCAAGGCTTGCCGTGTTCACACTGTCGTGGGACTGAGGTCCGTCGCCACACAAAATTAACGTCTCCTCGCATATCGCTCGCGTTGCTATCGCCCCGTAAAATAGGCTAACGTCCTGTTCCTGCGCATTCGATTGGTTCAGGGGTTTGCGACTGCAATTACACGGCTAACAAAAATGGTAGATTCCAGTTACAGTGGGAGTAAATGAAATATCCGAACCGCGAATGGGGAAGATTAAATTGTCGCATTAAAATCAGTAGAATGTTACGAATCGGACGTAAATCATGCCCTACATGACTTCCATGTCATGATTACCATGTTTGGACGTGTCATTTACCTTCGTCGTCTATTCATGTCACGTGATACCAAATTTGGAATATGGGGACCTACCCAAACGGCCGCGAGCACGCTATGAGCGTAGGATGTAGTCATGTTTTACATGACACGCATGTTATGATTATAATTTTTGGCCGCACAATTTATCTTCGTCGTCCATTCACGTCACGTAGTGCCAAATTTAGTATATGTGAAAATAGCGAAACGGCCGCGAGCGCATCATGAGCGTGGTATGTAGTCATGTTCTTACATGACACGAATATAATGATTATCATGTTTATACACCTTCGATATCCACTCCCATCAAGTAACGCCAAATTTGGTATATGTGAGGCAAGCGAAATCGCCGCAAACACGCTATGAGCATAGCATGTAGTCATGTTTTACATGACACGCATGTCATGGTTATCATGTTTGGGCGTGTCATTTGGCTTCGCCGTCCATTCGCGTCATTTATTACCAAGTTTGGTATATATGACGCTCGCGAAACGGCCGTTAGCGCATCATGAGCGTGGTATGTATTCATGTTCTTACATAACACGCATGTCATGATTTCCACGCGAGGGCCTGTCACTTATGTTCGCCATGCAGTGATGTTCTACCATACCAGTTTTGCGATATGTCATGTAAACGAAACCACCGCAGGAGCAGTAAGGTCATGACATGTAAATCATGACTTTCATGACATTCATATCATGATTATCATATTACTAGTCACTTATGGTTGTTGTACAGTTATGTCATACCAATTTCGGTATAGACCTAATTATCCAAACGGCCAGGAGAGCTAAAAGTCGTAGGTGGCTAAATAGATAGATAGATAGATAGATAGATAGATAGATAGATAGATAGATAGATAGATAGATAGATAGATAGATAGATAGATAGATAGATAGATAGATAGATAGATAGATAGATAGATAGATAGATAGATAGATAGATAGATAGATAGATAGATAGATAGATAGATAGATAGATAGATAGATAGATAGATAGATAGATAGATAGATAGATAGATAGATAGATAGATAGATAGATAGATAGATAGATAGATAGATAGATAGATAGATAGATAGATAGATAGATAGATAGATAGATACGCTCAAAGTCACCGAAGTTCGCTAAGAAATGCTTCACATTTGAAATCGAGCAGCGAGCGTGCGTGTCAAAGCCGCCACTTTGCGACCAAATTGACCGTTTTCGACCAGTCGCTTTGCGGCGAACTTAGTCGCACGACGAGTGTTTGTCGCATGCGAGAACACGCTTTAACGGGTATCTATTTATTAGCTAACGTGGTCGCTTGGGCGAGTTGGTACGACATCATTCACATAAAAAACAGCGCCAATAACGAGGGACAAGAAAGTGTCGCTGTCTGTCTCCTTCTTTTCTTGTCCCTCGTTATTGGCGCTGTTTTTTATGTGAATCGTATCTACTTATTCTTAAGTTTGACACAAGATTGGATCACTGAGCTGTGCTCGTTCGTTGATCAAAGTTCGAAATCCCGGTGTTTCGCTGATGCAATTTTCTGGAAATTCTGACAACCCAGTACACTTACGGTATACGTCTATCGCTGTGTTATACTATCACAGTATATTTGCGCACCTTAAATGTCACCGCTGCTTTGATACAGGAGTGTCATCCACTTTTACGATTATTTCACAAATAACAGTCTAAATTCATTCGCCGTGTTAAAAAACAAATTGCCATGCTCAACCAGTCACGTAAACTACGTGTAGCTGCAAACTTTACTGCAAGATACAGACTCGCTAGGTCATGCTGCCCTTGTAAACTTTTCAGAGAATACTAATTTGCCTGGCAACATTGTGCACAAAAAAACGAACGGAAATTTGTTTAGAAGTGTGGCAGTTTGGGCTAGTTGGTATGACATGACCATAGTTATAGCTCGAGAACACAACAACGTTGTCTCCGTTCTGTTCTCGCGCTATAACTATCGTCAGGAAATCTGCTATTTACGTACACCCGCCAAGCCCTGTGTGAATCTCTCGCCCAGTCGGCTCAAAGAAGGCAACACCATGATGGTTTTACTGCCACGAGACGAAGGGAGATTAAGGGTCATAAACACAGAAGAAGCGCGATAACGCAAACCAGGCAATCGAAGAAACGAAGTAAGCCTGCTGTGAGCATGCCAACACGGGCACAGATGGCAATCTCCAAAACCGAGTTGAATGTCGACGCGGCTGGGCTAGCAGTTACTTCTTTCACTTGGGAAGCGTTGACATTGTAGTTCGCGTGCTTGATGAGACTCGTGAAGATACGCGCTGAAACATACAAGCAGTGATCATTCTGTTAGAGACTCATCGTCAACCCTGATAGCCGTTCGGTGAGGAGTGGCGCATTACAGAACGAACCGAAAAAACACTTAAAGAAACAATGTTCAAGCAACGACGTTTTCCCTCAACGTGCGCGAAAGCTACGGTATAACCGCGATTTTATCGAAATGCTCTCATCGGAGTGTGGAAGCCCTTGGAGTGCTGAATGATGACGTCGGCAGCTGTCGGTAATACGGAGAAAGGTGAGAATAGGTGGAGTTTCATACCCTGTGCTTGATATACTTTAACTCTATACAGCTGGAACCTTATTAGCCGAAGAGGAACACATAACGTCACAACCCATCGATTGCTGTCACGCTCCCTTCCCATACGTGCATATACAGTAGATAGGTTGTACACCTCTGACTATGCGATTGTTAGCAACCACTATATAGCAACGAGAAGTCTCATCAGGGAAATTCCCGCTGCGAGCTCTCTTTGTCACTGGACAGCTTCTTCTTCTAATTTCCGCACTGTTAAAATCGGAAGCGTAGTCAGTTGTTTTTGTCGACCCACCTTTATGTTAGATAAAACTCACTGGTGGGCCAGTTGGTGCATGTCCGAGTTCGATAGTAAATTTCGCGCCAAAATCACGACCACACAAACTATCGAAAAAAAAATAGAGAGACGGGCGCTCTCTTAACTCAGTAAAGTGAAAAGTTGGGCGAGTTGGTGCTGGTTCATGAGTTGCTAGTAGCGCGTCGTCTGTGTACTTCTTCTCTGTTGTGTGTCGTTTTTTCGCGCCCCGTATCATCATGCTCTCTTAACTGTTTGTTGCTTGGGGAAACAGACCAATATAAACGCTCTTCTCGTCAACGCATGCGCAACGTGCTCGAGCCATCGTTGCCCTAATCAGGCTATAGGGACATGCATTCTAAATACCGTGCTTCCGACTCGTACAGGATGAGTGAAGTTTATTTGATGCGTGGGGTTTCACGTCCCAAAACCACCATATGATTATGAGAGACGCCGTAGTAGAGGGCTCCGGAAATTCGTTTGTTTGTTCAGGCTTTTCTCGTCTCACATATCATTTACGGACTGATCACCCGGTCAACCGTACGCAGATAATCGAGCTTGACCGGCTACTTGACGAGGCCAAACGCATGGTTACCGGACTTCCAAGGTATACACACGCCTGGATGCGCTCAAGAGCTGCAACAAGCTCAATAACCTGATCGAGCTCGTCGACCTGCACATCCACACACAGTATAAGAAGCTTCGCGCTACGAATGCCGGGCGATACACGCTCATGCTTCTCGGGTATCACATCGACACACTGTCCATGCTGCCCAACAAAACACCGCCTTGGAAAATCATCCCCGATGGCAAGCCACTGCCGTTGAATATATATGTATTCTAATCAGCGAGTTAGCTACGCCAAAAGACATAGTAGGGCTACGAGTTCCCTGTCCATGACTGAACGCGTCATGCACGCTGACGCTGCACTTCCTGCAGACGGTACCAGTAACACTTGTTATACCACTGCGTGGTATGACCAGACAAATGAAAATCAGAGCTGACGTTATCATCTTTGAGCAAAAGCGATGTATAACACTCGAGAAGAGCTAGTGGATATCTTGGATTATTTGGAGTGGGCCCTCGAAATGTCCCTGAAACTAATTCTACCCACTATCGTGTGTACACTGATTCCCAGGCGCCCATCTGGCATGAGCTAATGTTCTTTACACATACCCTGAGCTCCAGAAGATCGGACACAAGAATGTCGTCATGACGTAACTATCCACTGGTTCCCCGGGCCTTGCGGTATCCCTGGAAACTATAAGGCTCATAGATTAGCGCGCCCTCATCTCTTCACCGTGCTATAGCTAGAGCTTCCGATGCTCCTTCCTCTTTTCTGGCTATACCCCACCCTTCCAATGCTCCTTCCTCTTTTCTGGCTACCCCACCGGAGCCAGCAGATCTGATAGCAAATAAGCACATTACCAAACAAAGTCGTGCCGCCTACCTCACAGCAGTGGGTAATCCAGTCTCAATACCATCGCTTCCTTCGAAGGTATTCACACGGCGAGAGTCTGTTCTGCTTCGGAGAATTCAGGCAGGAACACTCCTTACTCCTTTTTTGCTGAACAGTTTTCACAGGGGTGACACACCACCTTCTATGACCGGTTTCTGCTCCACATGCAACTACCTGGATTGATCTGAACCTTTTGTGTTGGGAGTGCAGTGTCCTGTGTACAACCCACCAAGGCTTCGTGCCATGGCTACCATAAAACGGGGACCTTGGCCTACTCGTCTTCCGACATGGGCCTGCCTGGAGCCTTGCCCAAGATCCCGCCATCGAGTTCTATAGCGAGCACTCAGCTTGTTCCTCCAGGACTGGGCCGCGCCACCGGTCGGCGACCGGCTCCGCGACAGCCACAAGATTCCCGCCATTCAATTGACCCCCACTTAGCTGCCTCCGAGACGTCCCTTAAAGAAACGGAGGCAGCTCTACCCCCTCCATCTGCCGTAGTGCCCTGTCCCTGTCCACCGCAGCAACCTCGGCGCGAACAAAGTGGAGTTTCGTTCATTCAATGATCGAGCCAGGAAACACGCTCTCACGGTAAAAAATAAGGACGGTGCACATTTAAGCGCACATGTAACCTCATGTGGATGCATGCCACGCTTCACGTCGATGATGATCTTGGGTAAAATTAAAATCAAGGTAGCATGCACGATAAATTTTGGAGGCCTTTTACATAAAGAAACGGGGTACCAATCGTGTTAGCAAAACTTCACTCATTCTGTACAAGTCGGAAGCACAGTATCTAGAATGCATGTTCCTATAACGTGATCAGGCCAACGACGGCTCGACTACGTAGCGCACGCCTTGACGAAAAGTTGGTTTATATTATACCATGTTTTCTCAAATAATAAACAGTTGCAAGTGAGCGCCCACCCTGTCTGAGTTTGCTTTCTTTGTGTGGTCGTGATTTTGGCGCGAACTTGACTACTGAATTCACCTTTATGTATGGTCACGAGACTTCAGATGTACTGGGCCCTTTTATTGAAACGAGTTGGCTCTTGAAAAATGCAATGATGATGGCGATGATAATGCTCCTTGAAAGATTGGCACCTGCTTACTCAGGGGGATGGGCCAAGATCATCGCGGCTGGCTCTCGAGCGGAGAAGCACGCGGTCTCCTTTTTTCTAGGACGGGAGCCATTATTGCTTGCCGTCAACCCATTAAGTGCACGTGGTACTATGTTCGTGCGTCTATTTGTTTCTATCTGTGCGCGTATAGACGCATATAACAATGCGAAACTTACGAAGTATGGAGGGGTTAGAATCCCACAAACCTTCCGCCTGGATACGACAATGGTAAGAATTATTCTGTGTAAATAATCATGACCAGTTTTTTTAATTTGTGAGCGACAACTATGATTCTACTATGAGGCAACCCGCACTGAGTCATTCCGGATGAATTTTGACTACACATAAGCTTCTTTAAGACGCACCGAAATTAAATTATAACTCCGCGTTCCTTTTTTTCTTTTGGCTTTTCTTCCATTTCGTCTGCGGTGATATCTGATCGCTGAAAATGGAAATGGGTTGTTTGAACAAATCAAAGTCACCAGACTGATGACGCATCAAGGCATACTATGTCAACAAGCAAAGCATTAAAGCAGCACACAATAATAATTTATTTATTTATTTACAATACCTCAAAGGACCCAATGAAGAGTTTTACATGAGGGGTGGACTATTACAATGAATTAAAGGGGTAAATGTTCGATCGCTGCTTTGAAGTTGATGATACTGGAGTGCTGTACAACGTGAGGAGGAAGGCCATTCCAATTTTGTGCAGTCTTGACAAAAAAAGAATGAAATATGCGCAGTGGTGTGAGCACTTGGCAGGTAAACACCTTTTCCATGATTTATGCGGTCTGAATGACGATGGGCTGGCTTGATGATGGGAGTACGAGGTGATTCATGACGGAACTTCAAAAACAGGCACAGACGAGCAACACAGCGGCGTCATGAAAGGGCGGCGAGGTTAGCACGAGATTTATGTTCGGTTACACTTGACTGATGTGAATGATCTGAAAAGATGAATCTTGCCGCACGGCTTTGAACTGTTGCAAGTGTTTTAGTATTATTACTCTGATGAGGGTCCCAAACAGCGCATGCGTACTCAAGTTTTGGTCTGATTAGTGTCTGATAAGCGAGTAGTTTGACAGAAGTAGGAACCAGATGAAGGTTTCCGCGCATACAGCCAAGAGCACGGTTTGCTTCGTTAGTAATGTGCGAAATGTGAAGAGACCACGTTAAATCAGAACAAAAATGGACACCTAGATATTTGTATTCATGAAATGAAATTCGAGTGTTGTTGATCAAGCAAGTGGGAGATGGGTAGTACTGTCGGCGATGAAAAGAGACTAAGGACGTTTTGTTTGCGTTAAGGGACATTAACCATGTTTTGCACCAGATTTCGATATTATGAAGGTCGGATTGCAGTTCATGAACATATGATGTGTTGTTAACTGGGCGATAATAATGATTTATTGGGCTTAAAGTCCCCAAAACACGATATGATCATGAGAGACGCCGTCCGGAAATTTTGACCACTAGGTGTTCTTTAACGTGCACCTAAATTTAACTACACGGGCCTCGAGCCTTTTCGCCTCCATCGAAAATGCGGCCGCCATGGCCGGGATTCTACGCCATGACCTTCGGTTCAGTAATAGAGAACCATAATCACTACATAACCACGGTTTTCAATTGGGTATCGATGTATTGTGATAACCATTACGATAGCTACCAATTATTAAGGGCATGTTCTTAGAGATGTTTCCTGTATTTTTTTAAGCTTGTAGGCATTGGTACATGAACTCATTCGGGCTAGTCCTCTTCCCGCGAGAAGCCCCGCCGCGGTGGTCTAGTGGCTAAGGTACTCGGCTGCTGACCCGCAGGTCGCGGGATCGAATCCCGGCTGCGGCGGCTGCATTTTCGATGGAGGCGGAAATGTTGTAGGCCCGTGTGCTCAGATTTGGGTGCACGTTAAAGAACCCCAGGTGGTCGAAATTTCCGGAGCCCTCCACTACGGCGTCTCTCATTATCATATGGTGGTTTTGGGACGTTAAACCCCACATATCAATCAATCAATCAATCAATCAATCTTCCCGCGAGAACAAAAACTAAAAGCACAAAAGGATACAAAACACGGAAAGGTAAAAATAAAAGTCTATAGCACATTTGATAGCTGCGAAACATGTGCTAAAAAATCTACCGAATGGGCTCGTTCAGTTACGTAAACAAGTTAAATCACATGAAAGAGTTCGTAAACGCGCATGCAAATTCTGCGCATATCCATATAAAAAAAGTAAAGCATAGTGCAGTCATTCATAACAATTTCTAATGTAGAATATATACGGCACGAAACAATTGTAATATCGTTCCGGGGAGTGCTTGGTGTGCGTCTACCGTTTCTGTGCCACCAGCAGAAATTCTAAACACCGTAATTTATCTCTTTTGTAGCTACCACGCCATTCATATTTAAAGCAATTTCTTTCCACCAAGGCTTCGGTGGTGTAATGACATTACAATTGCCTTTATTTCGATCCCATTTGAATAGTGTCCGCTAAGATCTGGTATTATGTAATAAGTCTCAACGTTTACTATTGTAATGATGAGCCTGTCTATATATTTACTGAGTATCTCATGCTTCTGAGAACTGCTTTACATACCACTGTTTTTGCAGCCGTTCTCAGTTCAATTGAATTTCAGAGAATGACAAGGAGCTGTCGCCGTTGCTGGCTGACCAGCCGACGTTCTCCGGGCGGACTGCTGCCTACGGCTCGCGACAGGAGCGACACAGTGACGACTCCGACGACGCCATTCGCTACTTCGTCAGACTCGACGAAAGCCGCCTGGGATCTCGGTTGAAGAGAACTGTGGTGCAGATTAAAAGACAGTCGTGGTGCGTCCCGTACTTGATCGGGACGTTTTGGTTTTCTGCGCTCTTAGCTGTGCCGATCACGTTCTTCCCTAAAGTGGTGAGTGCTTCCCATTATTTTCTACGTGCTTCCTCGCACAAAGCCACCTCTTCATCTTTTTTTTTTTTCTGTCGTGTTTGAGAATTGATTTTTTTTTTCTGCAAGGACGATTTGCTAGAAACTCTTTCGATGATGGTGAATATGAGACACATTCACAAAGCAGTACATGCGCTCAATCAATCAAGCAAGCAGTTAGTTGAATAATTAGTAGCAATTGATAATATAACTATTTTCTTATTAACAGTTCTCACCATTAGTAGGTTTATTTTTCACTAAACAAATACAATAGAAAAAATATAGAAAAAATGGGGAGACAGCAAAAAAAAAAAACGCAGCTGTTGCAGCTTTGCCAAGACCCGCCACCCTGTAACAGCAATGACAATGCAAAAGCAATATACAGAGATATAGCAAAGGCAAGTGATAACACAAGCTAAAAGCAAATTATGGAACTATGTAAATACACAAGCAAAGAAACCAATTACTGATAGACACATGTGTATAATAAATCCTAGTGTACATAGATTCTCGTTTAACAGCGAAAGCTGTAATGAGATCAAAACACGGGTCACGCGCAGCGCCGTAGTTGTCCGCCGCCGCCGCCGGTGTCCGTAAGCACTGTCGCACGAAATAAGAGAAAAAAAACTTCAGTGAATAAACACCCCGAGGACACAGCTGGATTCGAATCCAGGTCCACTGCGTGTGAGCTCTGTATTCTACCACTGAGGCACGCCGGTTTTTTCCTTATTGGAGCCACGCCGGTGCTTGAGAGTTGTTCGCAAACTTGCCTTAAGCAGGCTTTATGACGGGTAAGAAATCGCGTTCGTATGAGTACAAACAGTTTTAGAACAGCAAAGGAACAACCACGCACCACAAAATGCAAACAGCGTAACAAGTGGGTCGTTCAATGCTCCAACCCGTTACAACAGCTTGTTCTTGATCACCTATTAACTGTGGCACATACCCACATCAGGCATAGTTCCTCATCGCCGTCAGCCACTGCGTGAACAATTGGCACAAAATTCTTCGCGAATGTTTCGCGGATACCACGCTTCTCTGGAGAATGACGAAGGATAGTATATAGTGAATGCCGGCCTACTACCCATAAATCATGATTATTAATGGCATAGTGGGTACCCAGCAAGTGTGCTTGCGGCAGTTACCCAAACAGTGTTTAGAAAGGCTCTGAAAGACCGCTCTTTCTGTTTTCACTGTGACTGTGCTGCACGTTCCGCGCAGGCGTGGCGTTTATTTACATAAGAAAAATGATGCCTTTGTACTTCTAGACTGAGTGAAAACAATGACAGAAAGCAAGACAATTTCAACAGTGTAAACAATGAACACTTACAAAAAGAGATTGAATTTTATTTACATTTACTTAATGCGTTAGTAAAAGGTTCCAAAACTAATTTGAGGCAGTCATGTGACCGCACAAATTTTTCTGAGAAATCTGAGTCGGCATAACGTAACGATACCATTAAACTTTCTTTATTGTTTCGCTTTCATAAACAACGCTCCATTTAAATAATAACCATGATCGGTAATGCATAAGCAGTGGTTGATAATAAAAAATAAGAAAAATATAGTGCGAATGCATTTGTACCAAATGATCAACACGTACGTTCCTTTCAGGCATCCGAGAAAGGACTACCACCGTGGGAATTTGGACTTGCGTTTTCAGTACGCAAAGTATTTGGTATGCTCGCACCGGCTGCATCATTAGCTATGGTATGCTCTAACATTAAACACATCATTACTTATTTATTTATTTATTTATTTATTTATTTATTTATTTATTTATTTATTTATTTATTTATTTATTTATTTATTTATTTATTTATTTATTTATTTATTTATTTATTTATTAACAGTATATCCAACATCTTGTGCAGATATCCTATCTGTCCCCAAAATGGGGCATTGTGATAAGCCAGACAGTGTTTGGAGTCCAAGGAATCTTATTTGGGTATGTTTCGTTCATCCTTCACGATATATTGTATAAGGAAGAGTACATTATTTGTTCGATTGGAGAAAACACAGTTTCAATTAATAAACACAATATGAACCTATCTTTCCCGATTCTTCAGCACGTCGTTAAAGAGCTAATTCTACAGAAACGTCGGCGACGTTGTCCGTGGACAAAAAAAAAACATCTCTACGAATGCAAGAATAAAAACGGGGATGCGAGCCAGCACCAAATACTGGCATTCTGTGAGGCAGTTCAACATTTGGCCTCGAGAGTCACGTGAATGTTCGGAACTGCTTCAGCGAAAAACCCTGTACAGGTGTCAAGGGGCAATATTCTTGTTACCAAACGCTATATTGCATGGTAGAGGTTTGGAATCGCACCAGTAGTCACACCATGAGAAAGTTCAGAGAAAGTGGTTCATATTAATATTTTTTTCAATCCCGCTATAAGTTGTCCTTTTAAATTGGTTCTTTTTAATCACTCTAGGGTTTCTTTAAATCCTCTTCTTTGGTACACATGTGTGGAACTTGAGCACGTGTTCTCAACCAGACTCGTTCCCCTGTTCCCACAGGTTATCCTGCTTGCTGATTGACAAGGTCGTCTACCTAGGAGTCTCGTTTGTCGGTTTTATCATCATGGAGTTCTTCATGATCTGCATGAGCATATGCATGGAGACAATCCTTGCCTCCACTCTAGAACAAGACGGAAACCTCTTCTTGGTAAGTGTTTTCAATCATAGCAGTCGTGAGTGACTGTTCCTAAAGCATGATAAGCTATATAAAGCAAATGAAATGCATTTCTGTATACTTGTTTTAACACTAAAAGAATATTCAAAAGAAAAAAAATGCACCATCTGCAGCTAAAAGGAACCACGTGTAGATTTCAAGCAGCGCGTGCTAACGTTTGCATTGGCGGCAGCGTTCGCTGGCGCTTATCACGGCGTTGCGCAGGATAGAAACCGAAAGTGAGGGAGAGTCACAAATCACGCAGTGATGGACCACTGTTTTCTACTAGAACATGCCAATGTTCAATGGGCAATGAGAGACAGAAGACTCCGATTGGACAGAGAGGCCCGCAGACCGCTTCTGTGCAGAAGGACTGAAAGCTGGGCTGGTTAACTGGTTACAGTACTTGAACATATTTTTACACAGCACACGACTACGCGGACACAACATTAGAAGGAACAAAATGCAGTGCTGACTCGTAACTGATTTTTGATTGAAATAAAAACGAAAAAAAAGAATGTATTAACGTTCCCACCCATGTGACCATGATAGAGCAAGAAAACGGTAGGTTAGCTGACATCTTGAACAAAAAAAAAAACTCGATATACCGCACGTGTACTCTCCAACAGCACAAAAGTTAAGATATCGCGCTAAGAGCTTAACTTCGCTATCAATTAGGGCTATAAAAGGCATGCTGTTCACCCCTCTTTTTGATATCATATGCTTGCTGCGCACTGCCACAGCGCTCCTCTTTCATGAAGCTAAAGTTCTACCGACACACAGATATCAAACCAGACGAGAAATTGTGAAAGCATATAATATGAAAAAGAGAAGTCAACGATGCCTACGAGTGCCATTTATAGCCCTACATGATAGCAAAGTTAGGTATCAGGTGTTTTTTTTTTTTTTTCATTATTCAAGATATCAGCTGAGCTGCCGTTTTCTTGTTTAGAGTGGTGACATGGATGTGAAGGTTGAAGTGTACCTTTTTGGTTCATGCTTTCCAATAAATGTTGAGTTGTGAGTGAGTGCTGCGGTTTGCCCCTTCTTCTCTTGTGCCCGCGTAGTCATGCGCTGTGTTAAAATATGTTCAAGTCTAAGGAACGGTCGCGCAGCGCGAGCAGTCAGTTTTTTTTTTTTCAATAAAAAAAATTGCCAGCAGACGCTGCCTGCGTCGGCGCTGCAACGCGAGAGAGGGAGTGGGGGCATAGGAGAGGAGAGAGGGAAAGGGTACGCACATGCGCAGTGGAGCACGGAAGCCCCTGGATCATGCTCTCATAAGATGCTTAGCATAAAAAAAATAATAATAAGGCTCTCTTCTGAAGTCGGACAAATGGAAGCAAGAGAATGTGGGCGAAGACGTGCCTGATCTAACGCATTTCTTTCTTCCTTCCTTCCTTTCTTTTATTTATTTCTCTAGCACAGAGAAATTCTCCCTTTTAACGTAAGCGTCGTATTCTCTTAGCGGAAGCGGCCGTCTGAACGCCATTTCCGGCTGAATCGGCATGGCGTCTTTCATGTTCTTTCTGGCGTGCGTCAGCCACGGCTGTGGCCTTAGCCCAACCAAAGGTTTATGATGCTGGTTAGGAGTTCAGTTTTCTCATAGCCAGAATTTTTGCGTGAACGCTGCAATACGAGGGGCGAAGCTTCTAAAGCCGTGGGTCTGTCCCTCCTAGCTCGTACGTGACCGCCTACTTCGATGACCCACTCAGCAGGTGCGGACGAACGGACGGACAGACTGACGGATGGACGAACGATTCACGGTTTACCAATAAAACCCTCCGAAGCTTCGCTCGACTCATCATTATTCACTCCATGGATATGCTGTGATTTTTTTTCATGTTGATTTCTCGCGTTGTGTCCAGCCGACCACTTTTAGTGTGCCGAAGCGAAATATTTCAATGAAGCGCCCGGGCAAAGTGTATTGTCCCGGATGGGGGGGGGGGGGGGGAAGCCATGGAAAGAAATACTATTCAGTTTTGCATATTATTTCTTTGGTGTGCGCCAGCTGGGGTAAGGGGTTCCTTGGATTGGAGACACCAGCTTTACGGGTAAGTCAACACAAGCATTGCTTGAAGAGCTCAGAAGGTCAAGCCCATCATCAGGTAAATATTTGCGAACGCAGGGTGCTGAGCGAAGCCTCTCGGAATTAGGAATGATGCTGGGATCAGTTGGAGCCGGAGCCCTTGTAGACGTAAGTATTGCAGCGCTCTTGAATATCAGAAGCAATTAGTGATTAAGCGCAACGTAATTATTGCAATACCTTGACTATTATTCCTGGCAACCGCAGCAAACCCCTATATATGTGCTATATTTCACAATACATTGACAGAGAGTGGTGTTGGGCACTTTAAATTTACCTAAAAGAACATAAAGTGTTAAGCCCTGTCTGCTGCACCGAAGTATCGCAGGCTACAATACATTGACAGATAAATAAAGGTTAAAGCGCGTACCTGAGAATCGGGAGCATAGTCGTGCGAAAGTGCTGCACTTTTTAAAGGTTGGCATTATTCGCCACTCCAGAAAACACTTCGTGTGCTGGTAACAAAGGTTGAAAAACAAAGATGGCCGCGTTGAATGGGATCAACGAGGCACTTTCGCTTGGCACTGTGCTGAAGCTTCTTGAATTGTCGTTGGATCGCGTTGCTTCGTCGAAGGCAAAAGGTAGCTGGCCGCAGACCACCTCGTTCTCGTGATTGCACTCGCCAAGCAGAGGAAGTAGTAGCGCTGGGCGCGCAAACATGGAGCCCCTTTGGCGAACCACATCAGATTTACTTAAAGTTGAAGAACCTGTCTAGCGAGACCGAGGTTGAAAAAGGCAACTGCTCATGTGCAGCAGGCCTCTCCGAAACCCGCTAGCACTTTTGCGCTGCGTTGCTACACTGCTATAGGCAAGGCTTTAACAGTTTTCGAGGCAACTACGCTGCGACTCGTGCTGCCGATTGCATGTATCCCATTGAGTTCCGTTGCACCGTGAAAACCTGAATACCCATGCTTCCCTTGCTTAAAAAACAAAGCTACGCCTGGGCCTGTGTATCTTGAGCTTAGGAAAGTCGTAGTTTCGATTGTAACTCACTTCGTTCTTTCACCGATTCTTGTTACTAGGTTTCTAATTAATAAGGCCGTGTGCTTCCGAACACTCGCCTGTTCATGTTGGCAGTAGTTGATATTCGAAGCAGATATATGCACGCGTACTATGCACGCTACGAATGCACGGAGGTGATGTATATGTACAGGATATACATGCACGCTACGCACGCGCGCGCGTTTGTGTGCGTGTATATACGCACATTCGAAATAAAAAAAAAACGTTCGTGGGGAAGTGTTGCGGCAGCTCAGTCTGAAAATGGGTATCACTACGACGTGAACAGCAAACAAGCTTATGCGAAAAATACAGTCACACACTTAACGCAACAAATTTACTAAAGCGCTTGCTTTTATAAACAACACTATACTATGTGCTTAGAAAAAAAGCCCGAATGTTGATAGGAATGCACACACGCTAAATAAAGCTGTACTCACCGAGGAGAAATAAGCCGTCATGAGCGAATGAATTTGAACAAACTACAAACTACAAATTTGAACAAAAAAGTGTCTGTCACCTCCTTTCCAATGCGCAAGTTTCTGATTTTCGCCGTTTTCCGTCACGCGTCGTCTGCATGCATTCTTCGGGAAGTGATAGAACGATATGACGTACTGCGGCACACTTTATTGGTTTTTGGACATCTCTTTTTTTTTTTACGGGCTCACGCGTGGGGCATGGCGAAAATAAAAGAGCGAAGCAGCCGGCCCGCTTCTGAATGCTCGCAACATGGTAACCTAAGTGCTTTCAGTGTTCACCCTGTTAACGCCGTTTGCAGGCGCGGCCGCTAGGTGGCGAGCGCTTAGTTGGAGACGCGAATAGCTGAATGACTGACTCCATGTAGGTTTTCCCTGGTTTTATTAAAAGAACAGTTAGAAGCTTAGCGTCACCTCTATCTCCAGAGGTTTTCATTAACTTCTTGGTCCCATTTTTCCTAATTGTGTTATAATATAAGCGCTGAAGAATAAACAATTCATCCTAAGCGCTAAGGAATGAAGAATCTAAGAATACCTCGTTGTTGATGCATTTTGAGACACATTAAAAAGCAACCACGAACACCAATTAGAAACTTCTGGGACGAATAATGTTCGGTGCTCTCGAAAATGTGATATATAGCATGCACGTTTGAACACCATGTCGAGACGGGTATCGGTAACCGTTTCAGGTTTAATTTGTAACAACGACGAAAACCAGCCGACACCCATCCTTGATGGTTGGCTGTCATCCTTCTTCAGAACTGTATGTACAAACAGGTTCACGAGTGAACTTCTCTGCAGGTTTGACAAGCGTACGTTCCCGGACAAAGGACAGTTTTATATTCTTACTAACGCGAATAAACAAAACATCGTAACTTTATATTTCACTGGTTACTCTGTATAGCTTAGCACGCAAAACATAGTGGAAAAAAATATTAGTGCACTCTTTGTTTAAGGCGTTTTACTTTGCCGTCAGAGATAAGTCAACAGACGCTCCTTCGCAATTGCCAAATAACTACGTCACATTTCCTGGGTGCTTTCATACCACAGGTATCGGGAGACTCGGTGCCTTACTACGTCTTCGGTGGTGCATTGCTGGCCGTCACGCTTCTTGTCGTCAGGAGCCGTCACGAAACAAGAGGTGTGTGATTTCTTTCAATGAGTAGCATTATTTGGCGAGTACACCCGAAAGTACCATCCGTCGTTCATCCACCCTATCTTCGCCGCCACCTCCCCAACGTCATGAAAACATAAAATGCAGGCCTATGCACTTTTAACTTTGCTTTATAATCTATACAAGGTACAGATAGGAAGAGCACTGACAGAAATTTACATATCGGCTTGACTAGGTCCGTGTCCCTTCTGACAACAGACAGCAGATGTGCAAAAGGAAAAATACAATGCATGAACAGGTTCATGCACCAAAAAAAAACATGTGTCTTTAATGGCAAGGGCAATAATAATTTAAAAGGGCCCTAAAACACTTTTTTAACATGGTCAAAAATCGCTGCCGATCGGTAGGGGGGGCTAACACACCAGCTAACTATTGTACACAGCACGTGGACTGAAATTCACAATAAACTATCAAAATCCTCTACAATTGCTTTCTTTTCTCTCTACAAATGACCGAAGATGCTCAAAAATCACTCGTAGAAGGCCAATTATCAGAGATTGGCTGATTTGAACATGGCGCGTTTGGTCGTAATAGGCATCGCGGCGGGAAGCCCGACTTGTCCACGCGTACGCGCTCGATCACACTGAAAAAGTTGCGTATTCAAATAAAAAAAAAGAAAACAGTGCTCAAGGTCATGAGGCGCACGTGACGTCTTTTCTTTGCCCCTGCCGTTCCTCCTTGCTTAGCGTCCAGTGCTTTCGTCCGGACGAGATAAGAGAAAATGCAATTGCAGCTTGCGACAAATCATAATTCCACTCGTACTGGACAGATACTTAAAAATTTTTGTGTCATTCAATTCGTGAGGCAATAAGCTCTTTTAGTGAATCCATTCTATGGCTGCATGAAAAAGTGTTTCAGGCTCCTTTTAAGCGAAGCCTAACGTGTAACATGCAGCTTTCAGGAAATACAACCAGTGAAACATATCTCGTAAAAGCACTTTTATCTTAAACATCCCCATTATGAAGATACAAAGTTTGAAACCCATTCACAAGCATTTCCGAATTAAAATACATGCTCATCAGAAACACAAGTAAAGAGGATAAGAGAATGAATGACTAAATGATACACACACAAATTTTCAAAGAGAGTAAATATGACAATAATTAAAAAGAAAGGCATGACGCAACATATTATTTCCATAACTTGGTCTGGAATACTGAGTAATATACCAGGTTTCTCTGTGACGTGTAGGATAGGGTAAGGTAAAATGAGACAAAACTTTGAAAACAGCGAATATTCAATTTTATTCCATTCGTTATAATTAACCATCAATGCAGAAACTTTCCCTTGTTTATAAGTATACGGTGAACTAGAGTATTCTAATTCACTATATTTATTATAAAGTATGTTCTGCGTAAATATTACCATGTTGCCATAGTTCGAAAGTTTATTATAAAAAGTAATAAAAGAATGCCCCAGGTGTTTCATTTTGCCCCAACCTGTGGGGCGAAACGAGACAGTAGGAAAAAAAATCACGTCTTCAGTTGTTCCCATGTAAGCACTTGAAATTCACCCCATAGGTCCTCAAGCTGTCCTCATAAGCCCATTTCTTGCCCTCCGCACAATTGAATTCAGACAACCCCAGCTCTCCGTTTCTCCGAACTCCTTGCTGATCGAACACCGTCAGTCTTCCTATATGCTAGAGCTGTATTTTCTAAATGCTTACACTTTATCGAATTATTTACCGATTTAAATATTAATATGTTCCAGAACTGCAGAACTGGGAGGAAATTTTATGGTTTTCAACTTCGTGAGCTGGGCTTTGCGAGGCAATGATTTTCCAATTTTCTATCACTTGTTATTTTTTAAAGTTTCGTACGAAAAAAAATCTCAATGAAACCCGATTCGTAAACGTGCTTGTAAGCGGCTAGAGTCGGAGATTAGTTCCAATTTTTCATGCGCCTCTTGGAAGGCGTAACAACCCCGATGCAGCGCGAATAAGTGAGTCCTGTCCTTATCAGCAATCAGAGCTCTTTAATGTCGTTTTCCTGCCAGGAAGCTCTATATCATATCCTCTTGCACTTACAAACAAATAATTGAAATATATATTGAGTGTAAGTAACTAGTTCACTTAATAAGACATTCTCTATGAGAACTTGATACCCTTTCGTCACGTTTTGCTCCTCTGGTACGATCGAATTAAAAAAAAAAATCAACTTAGGTCCCGGGCACCAAATGAACTAAACTTCCGGTGGTAAGTTGCTAGAAGTAAAAAGCAGCAAAATAAATACTTACCACACTGTACTGACGCCGGAGTAGCTTCATGCACGGATCCGAAAGTGTGGTTGAGCAGAATTTCACCCCTTTTTGGCGGGTCACCAACACATCGATATTAGCCACGTAATTTTTCCCACACGAATGATGTGATCAAGCATCAACTTTTGCACTCGGAAAGGTAGACAAGTAGCAAAACTTATCACTGGAAAAAAGAAAGAAAGAGAAGTACTTTTTGCATTACCTAGAAGCCACCAAAATCAAAATGTACATTTTACCCCGTGTGTCATATTACCTGCACATTACCCTACTGAAAGTGTTCGAATGTAATGCTAGCATTGGCAGGTGTTTTAGAAAACCCATGCTATATTTAGGGGCTAAGTCCATTCACGTCTGCAGTGTTCGTCACGGGGAGATGCGTGGATGTGGATTAAAAAAAGGTTTACAGCAGACAAACAACAATCATAACTGTGAAGGAACAATCTAAAATACCTACAAGCACAAACCCTTTATACTATAGTCGGCGACTTCGATTGTAGACCTTATGGCCATTTATGTCACTTCATGTCACGCAATGTTCATTATATAGAGCTACGCTCAGGCAACGTACGTTACTCATATGATACCAAGAGCTGCGCTCACTCGCCAAGATTGACTTCGTCTCTCTTTTTCTGTTAAAATACATTCTAGCACAACATACCCTTTTCAGAATTGTAAAGTTAGCTTCCTTGTTTTGCAGTTTGAACAACTAAAGCCGGCTTGTCATTCAGTGTAGCCTGTTCAAGCACGCTTTGCTTACGTAATGACGTAGCCCGTTAAGTAGGACCGCATCTCCGCTTGAAGCGCAACAGGTGCCGCCATTGCTTGTTTAAATATGCAGTGCAGAGAAGCGTACTCGAGAATGATGAAAAGGCTCCAATTCTGTATTGGCATAATATCTACCTGGGCGAAAATGGGATCAGTATGTGCATCGAGTGCAGCACTTGAAATCGTATGTCCATGAAATACAGGACAGATCCACGGCCACGTATAGATAAATTACAAACACACAATTTAAGCGCTTCGAACGCGCTTGACAGCAGCTGCCAGCATTGACGCGATAACCAAGCATAAGCGTGTGTCATAATTTGCATAATGGTCAATATAGTGGAATCAAATACCTCCAAGAGAAAACACGAATGATATGAGTATGTCTCCAGTGACGCCGCGTGAGTCTTTGGGGCAAAGGGCGAGGTATGGGGAGGTTCGCTTTGATCTATAACTCGCTGTATCACTGTTCAACTGTATTTTCAAATACTTGACCACTATGTTCCCTTAGACAGCAGCAATACTCAATCATCGATAAGCGATGCTGACGGGAACCCCGATCCGAATGAACAAAATCCGGCCCGAAAGACCCTCTGGGCTCTACTGCTGAACCCTTGCTTCATGGTGGACGTCTTCAGTCGAGCCTTGTGTTGGGTTACTGCGGCTTTCAATTATGCAACTCTCGAGCCACACATAGCACAGGTGAGTACACATTTTGTTTCATGAAAGTCACTGCACGCGTGTTGCGGCTCATATCGGCGCTTCGATATTATAAGCTATAATGTACAGCGCTGATGTTGTTCTTGTGTAGCTCTTGGTGTAGTTCTTAACTCTGCGCTTAATATAGCTCCACTACTGCGAAACCTGCAGCAAATGCGCACCGATTCCCTTGGCAATCGCGCGTTTGTTTTCTCGAGCGATGGGTGTATCAGCCGGATGCTTAATAAGCGTTTTTCACAAGTTTAGGTTAGTTATTGCAATTAAAATTTACTCCCTTCTGTAGGTTATTATACTATTTCAGACTTGTTCATTTATTCTGAACTTGTTTTGAGCTTGTATTGACCACTGCGACTATGCGGCATGAGACATTGCATGGGTTGGCGGGCAGCAAGCCGGGTCCTTAAAGCGCTACGCACTGAAAAGGTTGTATGGGTGTTAGAAACTGCGGCATTTATCTACACTAACACGACTCGTAAATGTTTTATACCATACGATGAAAATACGGGGTATTCGAAGGAATGAGTTCGAAATCTTCAAAAATAAGAGAAATATATTTTCACACTGCCTTCATAACTACTTCTTTAGTGGCGGCAGGCATCTTAATATGAGCACAGACGTAAATGATGACTGTAATCGAAAACACATGTTAATTATCTTTTTAATCAGTGCACACAGGCAGTTGGGAAAATGGGAAAATTGCTTCCCTTTCTGCGAAAATTCCGTTGCCACTTTCACGTTTCGCAAAAGTAGCTGCTGGAAATATGAGCGTATAATAAAATTCGATCTATTTCGCCGACGAAACCGAAACCGAAATTCAGAAGACCGGGAATAACACGCTCCTCTGAGACGTGTAGAATGAACTAACGTCGTTTTACCAATCGTAATAAATAATAATAACTGTTGAGGTTTGACGCCCCAAAACTACCATATGATTATGCGAGACGCCGTAGTGGAGAGTTCCGGAACTTTCGACCACCTGGGCTCCTAAACGTACAGGTACACGGGCTTCGAGCATTTTCGCCTCTATCAAGAATGCTGCCGCTGCGGCCAGGATTCACCCACGACCTGCGGGTCGAGCACCGTCATCTTTGTGGGAATCACCGATCGCCTTCGCTTCGTGGTTGTACGACTTTCGATTGGAGCACGTAACTTGGCAGTTAACAAGTGCACAAGAACAAACGCCGCTGCAATCCCCGTCGTGTGGTGTTATTCTGGTCGACTGTCAGTTGCACGCATCGGAACTTCGGTTCCGGCGGCAAGCTTGGTTGAATTTCATTGCTGCGCAGTAATTATTATAGGCATATTTTTCAAAAGCTCAAGGCGGCAGCGACATCTTCGCAGGAAGAACAGAAGTTTTCCCATTTGACCCGACCACCTGTAACCACTAATTATTTGTTTCAAAACACCGCAATTATTGCTCTGTCTATGTCCCGCATTCCAGAAAAAAAAGTTAATATCAAAACAGCGAACAAATATTAAATGCCTTTTTTTTTCTGGTGATTTTTGGACACATTTATTGAAACGACTCGTATATAAGAGTTAGTAAACGTCGCCATTATATATTATACTCAGCCTGTCGGGTTTAGTAAATATTACAACTCATGTACCGATGGGTTAGTAAACATCACTACCACAATTGGTCATCCTTTGTTACACACCACTATTTAAAGTCTATGGAGAATTCTGACAAAACACAATTGTTCATGATTACGTAAGAATGACAGTCTAGTGAAAGTAGTAGGATAAAATTATTTAGCTCCAAAACATATATTATTCGTCAACTCAACAGTGCAACTTGTGCTGCATCAATGTAGGGTCTCAATTTCGCGATACTTCACCTTAAGTGAGATTTTCATATATATATATATATATATATATGTGTGTGTGTGTGTGTGTGTGTGTGTGTGTGTGTGTGTGTGTGTGTGTGTGTGTGTGTGTGTGTGTGTGTGTGTGTGTGTGTGTGTGTGTTTATATTAACGAAGCGGCAATGTGCGGTAATTTGAAGTATCATCTCCATCAGTAATAGGCTACTCGGCGACACTGTAGTTCTGTTCTCGGTCACAGCTCTTGCATTTCGATAGGATGGATTTTGAAAACACTTCACATTTGCTTAGGTGCCCATTTAAAGAACTTGATTTCGTCAAGGCTACTGAGTAGTTTCCGTCACGGTTTGAAACGTAAAACGCTGCCGCATTATTTTCTTTAAAGGGACGATAAAGGCAAATCAATGTTCATTGCTGAGAAAGCGGTCCGGAAAACTGGTAGTGCTACTTCTCTGTCAAGGAAGTACTTATTTTGAAATAAAGTCACGGTTCAGTGGTCCGCATCGTGTTAGCACACTTCAAATTACCAGCCTCAAGTGGAACTGTTTACGTCACTGTAGCCGTGCAAACGTTGCCCGGAATTACTGCGTGGCCAAGGACACTACCAGCAGCAACAACGGCGATTGAACAATTTCTTGCCATAATCTGCGAGATGACAGGAGTGCTTGGTTCAGCTGGGCCCCGCTAGATGACACGACCTGTCCAGTTTATCCAGGCGAAAATTGAACTTTTGAAGCACTTGCACCATTCGTCCGGCAGGTCTTTTCACCACGAATTGAACAGAAACGAACAAGCATAACTTTATTACGTCCTTGATGCACGTTAGGTTCTTTATTTAGTGCAGCTAGTTCGATTGTAGTGATTAATTCTAGTCGGCAACTCTGACGTCATAGGGATGATTTTGCAAATGTCCTACTGCGGTGCATGTATACTCGTGCATTTACCTTAATTTCTCGGTCAGCAGGGCACTGCAGTTCATAATATTCTCATTTCAGACATTGTCATACATTGAGTTTTCACTCCGTCAAATTGTTATTTTACCCTAGGGTCCATTTAATTATGAGTGACATATCTCTTTATTGTACTATTCGCAAATGTCAATATAGTTACTTCGTGAGTCATGCTTGTACTCACACAAACGAACTTCAATAGGACCCCACAGTATGTGCTGCCTCTTTTTGTATGTCCTGTATTTCAGTTGCAAGAATCGAATGCATCGATCGGTGCCGCTTTCATGGTGAACTACTTCGCTTCCGTCATCGCATACGCCACCATGTGCTCCTCATATTCACGGAAGGCAAGTACGCGTCTGTGCGCACGGCACTCGTTGATGGTATTTAATTATGTCACATTCCATGGCTCCTCTCACAACATATATGACAAACCAAATTTTCATACCACAACCATAATCATGACAACAGATAAAGCGATTTCGTGTTTGTACCCGTCCTTCAAAGCGCAGCAGCTTTTTGTCCACACGTCCTTACTCTGTTTCCTCTCGGCACTTCGGCAGCGGAGTCAGCGAAAACCAGCCCATTAAGTTGTGAATGCATACACGTCTCCAGAGACACTGAAACTATTTATTTCGCATAGCTAAAAACAGCTAACACAAACAACAAAAATTGGCGGATTCTTTCCACTCATATAAAATTGGTGGAAAGGTTTTAATATTTTATGTGACATGCTCGTTTGGTTGACGTTTGTCTTTTTTTTTTCTGACTCTGATTTCATTGATTTTTATTATGCTACCGTATTTACTTTTCTAACTGGCTGTACTGTCATTTCCGGTTCATGCATTATTGCCAGTGCTAGTCTTTTATGCGGAAGTACCTTTACAAGTGATTATTAGTGCAACTTAAGGCTTTGTAAATCAGGAATAACGATTGCACTTTTGCATGCAAGTCTATCTCCATGATCACTTTTAGTTCGTCTAACGAAGACATCAGTAACGTTCAAACCTTTGTTGCGTACACGTATAGTCTTTGTTGTTGACTAAACTAAATGTTCCCCCTTCCCTTTACAAGCCTCTATTAACCGTCATGTAAATTAAAAAGCACAAAATAAACTCTACAGCACCTATAGTTCTCGCCATAAGAAAGGACTTGACTGTGACTAATCGTTCTCATTAGCAATGTAACTCATCGTTTGTGCAAATAAGCCAGGTGAGAAGTTCCTTGCCAAAATCATGATCAAAAGATTAGTTTTAAGCACAAAAGTTCCATATTGTGAATTTTCTTGATGAAATTATGTAACACACTTCTGCATGATGAGGCCCAAACGATCTAACATTGGCATGCGGCAGACTCGCAGGCTTCCACTTTGTTTAGGCCTGCAACGCCTGAAAGGCCTCCAAGTGGTACATATCAAATTTTTTTGCAGGCCGGTCGACCCATGCGGGGTCGCACGTGTAGTGATGTTTGAGTCTGACTGACGCACTCATTGAGCAGACAGGGAAATTACATTAGGAACAAACAAGCATTCAATGAAAATAAGAGCAAGGCAAGAGCTTACAGAAATAACTAAGAGGAGAAAATAAAAAATGCGGGACGAAATGAACTGCTACAAAACGAACTATGCTCTAAAGGAACAAGTACGACAGGTACAAGCAGACAACGCTGTATGTTAATAATATAGCATGGTGGAAACCAAGGAGATTCGAAAAACAATTACAAAAAGATCATACTCACGCTTCTGGGTTGCAACGTGCGACGCAGCGCATATCAAGACAATAATTCAAAGCTGGGGGGGGGGGGGGGGGTAGTAAAATAATGGTTAGAAAAAAATCACTATAAAAAATTTCATACGGATCAGTCCAGCCCGTGGCTCACGTAAGGGTGCCGCTGTAGGTCTCGCCAGCTTTGTACACGACGGCGGTGCCCGGTGTTGTAGCCGTCTTAATACGTTTTGCGGAACATTCCATGCATGCTCGCCGAGGCTCGCGACAACGACAACTGCGCTTCTCGCTTGTCGAACGTCAACTACCGAAGTAGCTAAATTCTCTTCGGGGTGTATGCATCTCCCTTTCTTCAAACACATACGTGCCCCGTTCCTGTATACAGTTGCAGGGAAGACGCACCGGCGCCGTTGCCGAAAGGTTAGTGCCCGGAAGTCTCTTCACAATGCAAAAGCCACCTCCCCTCGACAAAGGGGCACGCTGGCAAGGATTCCAGAAGTTTGTGGCACTCTGATTTGGACCTGATAACCTGTCTGAGATTAGACCAAGAAAAGCATTTTGTGGCCCATACATGTAGAAACAATGATGTGATTATGAGGCGCACCATAATTATGAGATTATGAATTATTTCGATAAATTCTGTAACACCCTCTAAACTAAACCACACATGTATTTTTGCACTTTTATAACACCTGAATGCGCCAACTTCTGCCAGGAATCAATACTGCGTCCTTGTGCTTGGCAAAACGTGCTTGAGCATCCAAACTATCCTGGATGGTCAGAAAAAAATTTGGAAATCGAAACTTTCGTCACGCCTACATTAAAAAGCTATAGCTGGAAATTAAGTGACTGCCAAAATAAGAACAGCGAGTTTTGTACTGGTCGGTGGCAGCAAAAAAAAAAGTGATTACGTGTCTCAGTTTTAGAAACAGCCGAGTACAGCTGTTCTTTGGGTTTGCGGTTCTTTTTGACCTGGCAGCTTTCTCTAGTATCATTTTGGAAGCAGTGTCTGTTAATATGACACACAGGGCAATGTTTTGCCTGTTCGATGTGGTGCATGTTTGATAGAGTTTTCCGATTTATTTAATAACGTGGCCGGTAAGTTTTTTTCGCTAGTTCATTATGTTGACAAGGCTTGTTACAGCCGCAACAAAAATATGTCTGATGAAACTGACTTTTATATTTTTTTTCATTTCAGTTTGAAAATTTCTTGATTTTCGTTGGGTCTGTACTCATGGCAACCTCTTATCTCATTATCGGACCAGCACCCTTCATACCAGTGGAAACGTAAGCAAGCAAGCTTGAACCGATTGTATCTCCGTATATTTCTTACTAATGATTATTCAGTTATTTTTCAACTAGTAAACAATTCATTAATAGAAATTAACAGACGTGATGTTTGTTATGCTTGCATCTAAATAATTCTAGCACGTGAAGGCAATTTTCGTTTGATATGTGATTGTGACGGAACATATTCGGAAGTTGTGACCGCTGATGTGGAAGAAAAAAAGTTTAAAATACGCGATGACGCTTCCAAATCAGTGATAACTTGTTGTACTGACTCTAGTCTCTTCCTCCCCCGTCCCTTATTTTATTCCTTTGAGCATGGAATAAAAAAAACTTGGGGGTTCTCAGTATTATGCAGATTTTTACAAAGCAATTCCGAACGCCAACATGAAAACAGCTTTACTAAGATACCTTGTGCAATTCATGAGTGGTTTCAGACGATGCAAAACAGAAAAAAGAATACACAAAAATGTGTGACCTTGTTTGTTTCGGCAATAAGAAAGTTTCAATCATATTCCGTGAAAACAGATATCAGCGTTAGCTATGTAACCATAAAAAAATGAAAATCAGAAACGTTCTTTTTCTTTCCTTTTGCGACCTTCTCCGCTGTTTCACAGGAGCTTCGCTCTCATATGCGTGTCACAAGCTCTGCGAGGATTTGGCGCTGGCTTCATCATCATCTGCGCCTACAGCAATGCCATGCGCGTCGCTGTGTAAGTACAAATGCACGCAGTGCAGTTGGCAGTGTAGTCTTTCCCTGCGCTCCCTCACTATCGCATTGACGTGGCAGAGGAAACGACACCTGACAATCTTTATATGTTGATACTTCTTCCTTGCGTTTTACCCATGAAGTACTGGAGCTCTGGGCATAAAAAGGGCATACTAAGTCTAAATGCTAGCTAAGAAAAAACACCGCGATAACAAGCCTAAGTCAAGTGTACAAAATGCTAACAAAGTAATCCCATTTCCAACAAATCGGAGCATATCCACGGACTGAATGATGATAGGCAGGACGAAGCCTCCGTCCATCTATGCGTCCGTACAAGCGCACGGACGGACAGAGGCACGGACAGACAGACGTACGGACAAAAAGCACGGACACATGGACGAACGGACGGAAGCATGAAGGGATGGAAACACGAACAGACAGACGCACGGATAGAAGCACGAACAGACGCACGCATGGACGGATGGTCGAACGGACGAATGGATGGACACGTGGACGAACGCTTCGCCCCACTCATCATATTTCACTACGTAAATATGCTGTGAAAACCACCAACGCCATCTAGTTGCAATATTCCCAAAGAAATATGCACACAATGCCATCTATTGCGCAACTCATGAACTAGCGATGGCTACATGCTACTACTACTACTACTACTACTACTACTACTACTACTACTACTACTACTACTTTTACTACTACTACTACTTAGGATGGAACGATCCACGGCCTACGGAGCTTCGCCCCTAAAAAATCACAGCATATTGATGGAGTGCATGATGATGAGTAGGGGCGAAAAGTGCGTCCATACGCTCGTTCTTGCGTCCGTCCGTACGTCCATACATTCGTCCATGCGTCCGTTCGTCCATGCGTCCATCCGCGTGTCAGTCCCTGTGTTCGTCCGTGCGTCCATCCGTGCATCCGCCCATCCATGCGTCCGTCCATCCTTCCATCCGTGTGTCTGTCCATCTGTCCGTCCAACTAGTTAACACTCCAAGTACCCCGTCGTTATCGAAGCAGCAATTGTTTTTTGTAAGAAAGCGGTATTAAAAATATATGCGATGCATTCACAGACACCACAGCACTGTCTTTGGGGTTCTTGAAACCAGTGGTTTTTTTTTTTGACAAACGAGCTTAAGATAATTGAAATTATTGTCAGTGCTCCTATAATGCATTACCAAGTGTGTGGTGAGCTTCCACCTTCAAGTGCAGCACAGAACGCAACACTGTACTGATTTCTTTTTATTTCAGTGAAGATGACAAACATCCCGATGACGTCCGAACAAGGAGCTTCGTCTGCAGCACGTTTTCGTTCTTCGCCAGCATCATGTGCGTAACAACGCATTCAATCGTTTCAACGTTTTACGTGACAGTACAATGGGCGTAGAATCGTACTGAATATTAACATTACGCAGATGTATGGTGCTCTATGACCGGACTGGAGAAGCACGAGAGCGTGAATCAACGCCTGAGAGAATTTTCTATTCACCCAGGGATATGTACTTGAATACAAAGTGTTCAACCATGCCTGTTATGCGCCTTGATAATCACGCGCGCAGTTTATGATTACCCACGACCGCCATGTATATGAAAAGATGGATTACCAAAAAATGAGCGTCAGAAAAGAGCGATCCTCTTACACACATGGAACACTGGTATAAAAAATCAGGGGTACTCTTACTTTAAGACTTGAACGCGACAGCGGCATCTACACGCACACACTCGCATATAAGCGGCAAGTGAGGACTCGCCAAATAATAATAATAATAATAATAATAATAATAATAATAATAATAATAATAATAATAATAATAATAATAATAATAATAATAATAATAATAAGTAACCATTTCTTTCTATTTGAAAGCCTGCCTGATGTGTGCATTAGTTTGTCCAGTTGTTCTGATTTGTGTAAGAGGGAAAGAAAGAGAAGCGTGGTGAAGGTGGTAGAGGGAAAATAGAAAACTCCCTCTATTTTTTTTTTAATGAGAACTATAACTGAATGAACTCTCTTAGCACTATATAATACCAAGTGACAGCATATCAGCCCTCACATTCACATTACTCGTAGCTCGCCTGGCCTTTTCCTAACTGTTTGAAAATTCATATTTGTATTTAAAAGAAAAAAAAAGACAGCTAGATTTTGAACGTCTGACCTTGAGAGCTTAGGCTGGCTTACCCTCCTTCTCCCGCGTTTTCTTCTCTCCTAACTGCTTCCTGTCTCGCTCAATTTCGACAATGTTGGCTCCAAAGTGTCCGCAATGTCGGGTGGCGGCACGCTTATTTTGACGTTTCCTGTCAACTGACGAGTTGCGCGCTCCTACTTCGCGAACCTATCGGCTACTTCTATGTGATTGTTACGTTGACCGTATACGTCGTGCACGGACGGTTGGAGGGCATGAAAAGTAAACGTGAAAAGTTTGTAACTGCTAAAGGATAGACTGGCTGTGCCTTTCAGGCCATGTCCTATTTTCTTGGCATTTTGGAGTAGTAATTAAAACTCTGGTAAAAAGACATTATAGTGGTCCTCAGTCGGGAGTCAGATACGTGCTAGTAATTACATCTACAGTTAGCGAGCACTGGACTAGAAACACCCTATAGGGTACTATACTAAGTGGCTACTGTACATACGCACCACCTCTTCTTGTCCCCATCATCACCCTTCATCCCTCTTTCTTTCCCCTTTCCCTTATCCCCTGTGTAGAGTAGCAGGCTAGAGCGAACTAGCTCAGGCCGACCTCTCTGCCTTCTAATAAATTCTCACTCACACACTAGCCTAAGAAAGTATAATAGCGAATGAAAGGGTAAGGAGCGAATTATTTTTTATTTTACAGAGCGGCAAAATGTAAGAAACTTCATACGAAAGTAATGACATGTCTGCATCACTCACTGCATAGCGTCAGCTTGAATTGATACGACCAGACGACTCTCAGCACCACACAAGGATAAGTGCACGCGATAAGTTGAAGAAAGTGCAACAGAACTCCCTGGACACAGCGCAGTAGCCTCACATACAATGGCCACATTTGGTTCGAATGCAGATGCCAAACCATTCCCAATTGCATACTGGCTTAAACTCGTAATAACAAAACGTTTAAAAAAAAAAGGTCTGCGATGCGGCCTCACTGGCGACCCCTTGCCGGTAATGCTTTTTCGCCAGAGCAGGATTGGCCACCCTGTGCAGTACGTGGCCCCTAGCTCCCTTATGAAAGTACATATTAACCCTTTGCCCTAATTCCCCAGCGGCTGCAAGGCAACTGGCCAAGGCGGTGGTAAGACCTGCGCCACAGCGGAAAATGCTAAGACTCTCTAGGTCCGCACAGGTTACCAATAGAATGTGAACTTGGCTACGTTCAACGCTAGAACGTTATTTAGTGAGGCAAATCCGGCTGTACTATTTGACGACTTACATGATGTTAAATGGAATGCAAATTTCATGCAATTGGGCTCAGCGAAGTTAGGAGGACAAGTGAAGTGGTGAAGAACCGACACGTCCTACGCTATAGATTAGTTAGCAGAAAAAACACTAGGGGTGGGGCTTCTTATACACAAGAATATCGCTAGCAAAGTACAGGAATAAACACTATAGAATTAGTGAAAATTGCCAGCATCATAACCAAGTTTAACAAAAGCTATAAAATGAAGGTGGTACAGGCTTATGCGTCTCCATCAAGCAATGATGACCATTTGGTTGAACCGTGCTATGAAGATGTATAGAGTCTGAATTTTCTAATGTAAAGTCACAGTATGCTATTCTGATAGCTTTAATGCAAAAGTAGACAAGAAACAGGCCGGAGATCATGCCATGGGAAAATATGGCATCGGCTCTATAAATGCCAGAGGGGAGTTATTAGTAGAGTTCGCAGAACGTAAGAGTTTGCGGATCCTGAATACCTTCTTCAAGAAACGGGCGTACCGTAAGTAGATGTGGCGATGTCCTAATGGAGAAACTAACAATAAAATAGACTTCATCCTGTGTGCGCACTGAGGCATTGTACAGAATGTAAAAGTAGTTGGCAAAATCCGATGCAGTGACTATAGTATGGTAAGAGCTCGCATTACCCTAGATTTAATGAAAAACAAAGACAAAAACTGATACGCAAGAAGCCATTTATAACTAGCGGTGAGAGGTGAAATACGGGGTTTCAGAGTTTCGCTTCAGAATAGATTCGAGGCGTCAAACAAGGTAACCGACGTTAGCATTGACACAACGAACGATAAACTTACTACCATCATCAAAGAATTTGCAATGGAAGTCGGAGGTACAATCACTACACAGGACGCTGGTAAACTATCTCAGGAGACGAAAAATCTCATTAAGAGACGACAAACTATGAAAGCCTCCGATGCCACTGACAAAACAGGGCTAGTGGAGCTTTCGAAGTTAATCAATAGGAGCAAGGTATATAGCCGTCATTACAAGGTATAACATGGAGAGAATTGAGCAAGTCCTAAAAAGCGGCAGAAGCCTAAAAGCTGCAAAGGCAAACTTGTGCATAGGCAAAAATTAGATGTATGCATTAAGGAACATCGAAGGTAATGTCATAACCAATATGAATAGGATAGTCGACGTGGTATAGGAGTTCTACAGAGAGCTAAACAGAAGCTGAAACAACCAGGATCATGTATACGGAGCAATAATAGCCCAGAAAACTTCGACATCCTACCAGTAACGACAGGGTAAGTGAACAAAGCCCTAGAAGGAATGCGAAGAAGCAAAGCCACTGGTGATGATAAGGTAACAAACGATCTCCTGAAAGATGGCGGAGAAATTGTCTTAGAAAAACTGGCCACCTTATATACAAAGTGTATTTTGACGGTGAGGGTACCAGAATTGCGAATATCATTATGGAAGAACCCGAATGTCATTTTATACCATTAGGAAGGAAACGTCAAGGACTCAAAAAATTACAGGCCACTAAGCTTACTGCCCGTTCTCTACAAGCTATTTACAAAAATAATAGCTAATATAATTAAGGCGACATTAGAGTTCAACCAACCAAAGGACCAAGCAGGATTTTGTACGGGCTACTCCTCAATATACCATGTTCATCTCGTAATCACGTAATAGAGAAATGCGCGGAATACAACCAACACCTATACATAGCTTTCATATATTACGAAAAGGCATTTGACTCAGTCGATAATCAGCAGTAATGCATGCACTGTGGAATCAGGGCATCGACGAACACTACATAAACATCCACAGCCACCATAGTTTTCCATAAGGAAAGCCACAAAATACCATTAGAGGAGGGTGTAACCAGAGACTCACGATCGCTCCAATTCTATTCACTGCGTATTTACAAAAAATTTTCAGGGACCTAGATTGGAAAACGTTAAGGATAAGAGTTAATGGAGAGCATCTCAGTAACCTGTGATTCACTGATGAAATTGTTTTGATCAGTTACTTAGGGGACGAATTACAGCTCATGATTACTGAAGTGGACACAAAAAGCAGAAGAGTAGGTCTGAAAATTAATATACACAAAATTGAAGTAATGTGCCACAGTCTCGGCAGAAAACAGCACTTTGCGATAGGTGGAAAGAGGTTGGAAGTTTTAAAGGAATATGCCTACTTAGGACAGGTAGTAACCGCGGAGCCGAACAATGAGAGCGAAATAACTAGAAGAATGAGGATGGGGTGGATCGCGTTCAGCAAGCATGCATACTCAAATCATGAATGGTAATCTGCCACTAACCCTCAAAAGGAAGGTATACAACAGCTGTATCTTGCCGGTACTTACCAACGGAGCAGGAACCTGGAGGCTTAAAAGGTGGGTTCAGCTTACATTTAGAAGCGAGCAATGGATAGGAAAACAATAGGTGTAACCTTAATGGTCGAGAAGCGAGCATAGTGGTTCAGGAAACGAACCGGGGTTAAAGATATCATAAATGAAATCAAAAAGAAATTGACATGGGCCGGGCATGTAGCACGTAGGCGGTATAACCGCTGGTCATTAAGGGTAACTGACTATTTTTCAGAGAAGGCAAACGCACGAAGGGCAGACAGAAAGTTAGGTGGGCCGATGAGGTTAAAAATTTCGCAGGTATAACATGGCAAAAAAAAAGCACGAGACTAGGTCGATTGGTGAATCATGGGAGAGGCATTTACCCTGCAGTGGGCGTAGTCAGGCTGGTGATAACCTAATGAACTGAGCATTGGAATTCGAAATGCGTCGAGATATGAGAACAGTGATAAAAAGTCAGCCAGCTCCGCTTTGCGGACACTGATGAAACAGCGAAGCTGCTGGTGTGCAGTGGAGTTGAAATCAATAGGCTAAATTAAGTGAAAACGAAGTGGGCGAATAAAGAGGGCGAACTGGTGG